AGAAATCTTGAAATAGTTAATAGAAATATCAATAATTTTTATCTCACAAAAAAATAAAAAATATAAGGTATATATTAAACAAGCAATTTCAGAGAATTGTGGCCCCCGTCTTTAGTGTGTTGGAGATATCTTGTTTATGGCAAATCGTGTCAAATATGGACGCCCTATCGTGCGTCATTCAAAAAGTACCGGTATCACCAAAGTTGATTTTTTAATTAAAGAAAATATGAAGGTCAAGGGGTCAGAAATCATAGCATTCTCAAAAATAGAGCAATATGCCATTATCTCCTACATACGGAGTTTATATCTCTCAGTTCATTCGATTCAAAAGAGCATGCTCTATGTATGTACAATTTCTAAGACGAAGTAAATTCTTGACAAAGAAGTTGATGAAACAAGAATATCAGCAGTCTCATATAAAGTCATCAATTTATTAGTTCTATGGTCGATACAGTGGACCTTGGCAGCAAATACAATTTATCAGTGAGTCAAATGCTGACTCAGGTTTTTCATACTAATTGTCAGTCATTATTTACACACTGAATTAACGACGGATTTTTCCCCATTATTTCCCGATCATGACGAGGAGCACACGGGTGTGACCTGTCTACAGGGGATGCTCAATCCTCCGTGGTACATGGTCCCACTTTAGTGTTCGGGAGGTCAGTGTTTGCTCTGATCCTATTTTGTATTTATTTTTTTAACTTGTATACTGTTTGTTATCTAACTATATGCCATCAAATATAACGGTCAATGTTAGAAGGTCAAAAATCATATTCTTGTCACAAGTAATAGACATGTGAACGAAGAACACCCTTAATCTTCTCATCCAAAAGTTATGACCAAGGTCAAAGTTTTTAAAAAGTAGGTCAAACCTCAAGATCAGAGAGTCGAAAATCATAATGTATTTTGAAAGGTCTTGTCACAGGTAACAAACAAATTTAGTTAAAAAACTTTATTTCCTCACATTCAAAAGTTTTGGCTAATTTAAAGTAAGTTGATTTTTTTAAAAAGTGGGTCAAACTACAAGGTCACGGGTTCAAAAACCATAGTGCATTTTCAAAGGTCTATTCACGCGTAATACACATATGTATATATATATAGCGATCAGGTGGCTAAATCGTTATGCATAATCGCCGAAGGCGTTTATGCATAAAATTATCACGCCTCGGTTTATACTGGTCAATGTTCAGCTTTAAATATTAAGTAAATGCTGCATTTCACCATGAGTAGAATTGGACAGCGGAGAGTTACTTTTTTTATGAGTGGCTTGATAATTTTATGCATAAACGCCTTCCACGATTATGCAAATTATCACACAAGCCACTCGATTGATCCCACCATGAAACCAAAAATAGCTAATTTTTTCTAAACACTCACTGATTAGTGGTAGTTTATATAAATCAGTTTTAATTGCTACGGAAGCATGTGACATTTTCATGATTGTTTGTTGTTTAACATCCCTTCCGAGATTTTTTCAGTAAATGGACACCACTTGCCGATGGATAGCTGCAAACGTTGTCTTACATTCGGTACCTTCCATCATTGAGGGATATTTTTCGTGCCAGCATCTACTGCGACACGGGACCTCAGTGTTAACATGTACGGTCTCCGACGAAGTACAGGTCATCATATCTCTCAGTGAGATTCGAACCCGTGGCATTTTTATGAAAATCACAGCTAGAGCAAGAGTGTTGTCGTAATGATCAATCCAATGGAATCATTTCATACACGATTTTTTAAAATGAATTTTCTTTTTAAAAATCTTCACCGTCAATTTGAATTCAAATAGGTAATTTAAAAATTCAGCATTTTGCATGCATGTTACTCTTCATCCAGTTTTATCCACGTAGCACTGTGAGAAAAGTACAAACTATGAAAATTGTAAGATGTACTTGATTCTGGTCGTACGAAGATACTGTATGATATAAGTACAAACTTCTCTTGAAAAAAAAATATCAGTTAAAGCATTGTGTGAAATTGTTTAAGCATTTACATTATCATTTAGGAATTTATCTCTATGTTAAAAAATATTATTTGAGTAATAAATCAGATTTCCCTTTTTTCAGTTATAAAATTGAATAAAGGTTTCAGCAAGCTATCTCCATTCTAATTCATAAGTAATTCTTTCCTTTCACAACAGAAAATATCTTAATGGTTTGCTTCTTCAATTTACATAAAACTGTTGAAGTTTATGACAGGATACCGAAAGAAATCTTTAACAACCAGTTACAGTTTGATATTGGCAGGTACTAACAAAGAGTATTCACAATATTTTTTTTTGACAGACCGTAAAGTGATGCATTTTTTTAAATTTTGAATTGTCTACCGATTTCTCCGATTACCTTATAATTGCAAGGGGGCTGCCGTGAAAATGACCAGTTGATAGGGATATTTACCTCTTTATGGCGCCTGATCCTACCTCTGATGACTCAACTTATTTTCCTTATCTAGAATGATCTAATACCGGTAAAAGCTCAAAAGCAGGTAGCTTTTCCTCCCTTTCATCCAATTTTTCATTTTCTTAAAGTAATAATCTCGAATTTAAATTCGAACTGGGTGCCGAGAAATCCTACCAAAGCACATTTTATATCACAACTTAGGAAATTTATTGTACATATACGTTACAGAGAAGACCAAATACCATTCAATAATCTGTTTTTTTTTTGGAGGGGGGGGGGTTGATATCTATTGACGACAGAGCCCATAGGCGTCGGAACCGGGGGGGGGGGGGGCTAGGGGGTCTTAGCCCCCCCCCCCCCCACTTTTTTTCCAAATATATACTTAGTATAGACATTGAACATATCTTCGTAGGTTTAGCCCCCCCCCCTACTTTCCACAGATATGTCTTAGTATAGGTTAAAAATGGGGAAAGTGATGGTGTTTGGAAAAAAAAATTAAGGTACTGAAGTTTTTTTTGAAGGTACAATAAAATTAATTTTTTTTTTTACACATAGCCCCCCCCCTTTCGATTTGCTTCCGACGCCAATGGAGCCTATGGGTGTGTGTTTGTATGGTTTTTATATTACAGGAAAAAGAAAACAGAACATTTTGAAGAAGAATCTGATAAAGAAGAATATCTTCAAGACCAAATGCTCAATAAACAGTCATTATCTACGTCAGAGTAATCATCCCAGTTCATGTAACAAGAACAGTTCTTAAAGCCATCGAAGAGCACAACTATGATACGATAAAGCTCATGACAACACAGAATTCCGATGAAAGGGGTGGAAATAAGGACAAATTCGTCTCGATGAGTTTGACGGCCTTTTTTGTACTGTTATTGACGGATTGACGGTGGTGATTAAAAAATCATGATCATATATCATTTCTGCAATGTTACTGAAAACTGTAAAAACACATATTTTCGTGGGGTCAAATTTCTGTGGTCTCAGGAAAAAATAAGGGTTCGAGAGAATTTGATTTCGCAGATGAAGAATTTATGAGTAAAGATTTATGTGAACAGTTACATTTCGTGGTGAACATAAATTCATGGGTCTCTTCGTACCTCAAAAACAACGAAAATTAAACCCTAAAAAAATAAGTGATTTCACAGTATATTTTTGCAAGTTGAATGTATCTGGTTTTATGTATTAAACCAAATACAAAAGCACACAGATATCAGATCTTTGGGTTTTTCTATTAGAACATTTTAGTTTAATAACATAGTTGGAACATTTGAATGCAGGGTTTAAGCGATATGACTATAAGCTACTGAATGAAAAAGGTAAAGATAACAAATCACGAACGATCAAAAAACGATCAACAAATCTATAATTTAATTGGAACTTTTGAATGCAGAGTTTAAGAGATGAGATTATACACTGCTGAATGAGAAAGCATCTCCTGTTAACCGTTATAGCAATTCGACAACAATATTTTTATAGGTCCTAAATGGGTTTCCGTAGAAAACACATCATGTCTAAATAAGAATTATTAATACCTCCGCTTGAAAAGCGGGAGGGTATATAGTAATCGTTATGTCCGTCCGTGGTCTGTCTGTTACGCTTTGGGGTACCCATCTCTTATCCGCAACTCCTCTTATACCACTGAGTGAAATTTAATGAAACTTTCACAGAATCTTTATTACATATTGCCATTGTGAACCTCCTATTTTACTTTTTGATCCGACACATATTTTGGGTTTTCCAGCCACAGCAAATCATGGACTTTGCCACTATAAACATATGGGAGGCGGGGGGGGGGGGGGTATCATTTAGTGAGCTCATTGCTCCCAATACCTCTAGTTATTTACTTACTATCGCAAATGGGCTTTTTAACGTCAAATCGCGGGAATATTAATTTGCAAATTGTCGATTCATCAAGACATTTTATACAGATTTCAGCACAATACAAATAATTTTTAAGAGCGAGTGGCGTTATTTGGCGTGTGGTGCATCTCGCGAACTTACGCGATAATCAAATCCACGTGTACATTTAAGAATCTACAGTAAGAATTGACAAATTACGCAAAACACAATAGATGTGTTAATTTCGTATTTGCAGTGAGGCAAGGCCCCGGGACCTAGGCCATAAAACTTGAACACTTTTGATATCAACCTCACAATAAATTCCCTTGGAAAAAGAATTATCATGCTTGTATAAGGTGAGGAACTCGGTAAATAAAAGCATTTTGCAAAAAGAAATATCCTAAATTAGGAGAGATGATACAAACAGTTTTTTCTTGGGATGAGACTTAATATCATGGCACAGATTTGGAAAAGTGGATAATTATTTGATGTTGTTTCACTCCTTAGATTTCCATACTTCAAAATTTCCAAAAAATTTCCCAACTAGAGTAACCATGGTAAAATTGTTTAGTCTTATTTTATTTACTCTCTTTTTTCTTCAAAAATGTCTCTAGAGGAGCACAAAGTGAACTGATATTACATTGACTCAATAACTTGTAAATTAGGTGCGGGGTATGCGTGTTTAAATGATTGTATCTGTGACAGCTCAACAGATAAAAATACACCGGCAATTTAAAGCAAATACCACTGTGCCGGGAGTTTAATTGATAAAATATAATGAAGGCTGCTCTGGTATTTCTTATGCCACCTTTGTTGCTTGTAAAGGGTAAGCATTATTTCGTTATTTATTTTTTAGTTTTAAAAATATCATAAAGAGAGATTTTATGTTTATACAGCTGTATTTTTTAAAATCCTGCGAGAAAATTTTTATCCCACCATAATGCTGAAATACTTTACGCAAAATAACGTTCACAGTATTATTGGAAGCAGTTCACTTCCTGAATTTAAAATGCATAGGTATCTTAGAGTCTCATAAAGATAATAATCTAAGACAATCGCTCTGTCTCACACAATGGCCGCTTATAAATTATAATAATCATTTAAACTACTATGTGGGATTCCAATTCATATATCAAACAGGAAGATTCACTTATTTAGCAAAAAGTTGAAGAATTAAAAAAACATAAAATTTAAACATTGACAAACGAAAATTATCGTATATTTTTTCTATATATATTTAATTCAATTGTTCATTATTTTTGCAGTGTTTTCAAACGAACTCACTCATGGAAGGTGTTATGGCTGGCAAATGGACATAACATGCAGCAGTTCGGATAAAATATTTCCTCTTCTAGTCATGGTCGGTGCAAAACCCGAATCAAAGGGCTGTCCAGACATAATGACCCTTAATGCAAACTCTACCTTTGAAAGAAGTTGCTGTACCTATGATCAGGAATCCTGCTATTTTCCATATAGTAATTTAGATGCTTCTGTCACAAATACATACTTTGAAAATTGCATTGGAAGGTCCAACTGTACGTGGCCTATAGCTAGGCTGGACATTAGATCTTATGACCAGAGGACATGTAATTCTTCAATCTACCCTGAATCTACAACTTTCATGGTTCTTCATTACTATTGTATTAGAGGTACTAAGACTTTTTTTATGAAATTAGGTTTATTACGTAGAATCACATTTTTTTTAAAATTGATCTACATCTTCTGGTACTTATGTAGTAATGTACCTTCATCACTTGCATACAGAGTCTATATCTCTGAGTTCATTCGATATGCAAGAACATGCTCTACGTATGTACAATTTGTAAAACGAGGTAAGTTATTGACAAACAAGTAAATGAAACAAGAAAATCAGCAGTCTCGCTTAAAGTCATCATTCCGAAAGTTCTATGGTCAATACAATGGACCTTGTCAGTAAATACAATTTATCATTGAGTTAAATTCTGACTCGCGTTTTCAAACTGATAGTTAGTCCATTATTTACATATTGAATTGACGACGGATCATGAAAAGGAGCGCACAGCGAGTGTGACCGGTCAGTAGGGGATGCATACTCCTCCATGGCATCTGATCTCATCATTGATGTTTTGAGGTCCATGTTTCCTATGCTCCTATTTAGTATTGTTTTATGAGGCAGTACACCGAAAAACTGCGAATACTGTTTATTATACCCATATACTTAGTACATGTATTTTATTTACTTTTTTCTTTTAAATTGAAATCTTTGATTTTAAGATCAGTTGCGTTTTCGTTGATAGATATACATGTATATCATAGATCTAGACATGAATGTTTTTTTCTGATAATCCAAATCTTTCAGCGACAGAAATCCAGAGTATCTCCAGCTCTTTTTCGAGAAATTTGGTAACTACACTACATATCACAGCACAGAATTACAGCGATAACAATAGTACTTCGACAGGAATCGGGATGATTCGGGATCCGGTGACCTGTTCCGTTGAGGTGTCGGACTGTTCCGGGAGGGTGAACGTCACCGGATTAGATGTCCGACTGGTTAAAGTAGACAGTGCATGTAAACAAACCTTGACATTTCTGGAAGACGGCAAAAATTCCACCATTGACTGTTCCAGAAACAGTAACTTTGGTGCAGTTCATTTATTTTTAAGTACTACTAGCTATTTTATGTTTGTTTATATTGACAATCATACAGGAGGTTATCTTTGGTTAAAATTTGAGACAGGTAAGCAATCGTTTCAATCATTGATGATTATCACACGAGAACAAACTTTTCTGTGAAATATTTCTATGAATTTTCGGTAGTTATTTCTGAATTATTTTGAATTGATGATTCTGTACTTAAAAGAATGATCATGCACTTTTGAAAGTTTAACCACGTATTTGTTGCAGTTGATAAAAGTCATAATATGGAAATAAAATGTGGAGAAAATCAAAGTCAACCAAAAAGGCAGTGTAACACTGTAAACGGAACATCAGTCAATACGATGACGTCATTGATGAACAGTTGAGTCTCTCAGTTCTCCACTGATGTTAACCTCCTAACGATGTTACACGGACATACAATACAAAGATACAGTGGAGAGTGAATGAGAATTAAAACAGATAAAAATTCACTATAGCTAAATGCTATAGAAATTAGTATTTTGTTGATCTTTTCTTTCATTTATTTGGAACATTAGACTCAAAACACAAGGTTCTTCACTTTGCTACAAAAAAATCTTTATAGGATTTGGACAGACTCACATTTTTACTATTTCTTTTTTTATGAGAATAAACTATGATATCAAAAAATTCTTTTTGGATTGGACAGTCACATGATTATTTTTGTTTTATAAGAATGTGTTTGCCTTTTTGTTTCTTCCAGCCGAGAAACCTCAGTCATCAGTAGAACTGGCTGTTATTGTTTCCGTCGTTATAATTGCCAGTATAACCATCGCCTGCATAGCCGGTGTTGTCTATCTAAAGAAGCGAAGACCGGAAAAACTCTCTCATCTCTGGGATATCCTACTCAAAATTTGCTGTAAAAAATATACGGTCTGTCAATTAATTTTTTATCAATCTAAGTTAAATGAATAAATGAAAAGTAAAAATGTTTCAAAAATATAAACCAATTCTTATACTTGATTTCAAACACATTTTGACGGTGATAATAAGTAAGGTGAACGTTCACAATATTGTATGTCTTGGTACAAATAGTGTAATTTGAAAAATAATTTGTTGAAACTAATTTTTATTATGTCCCCGTAAACAGTATATAGTTTTTGCCCTGTCCGTCTGCATATATGTCTGTTTTTCCGCAAAAACTTTAACCTTCCCCATAACCTTTGAGTGGGTGGGGCTATGGCTTTCATATTCCACACGTGTATTCCTTGTGATAAGACCTTTCTTCGGGTACCACCAAATTTGACACCCTGACCTCGACCTTCGAGTATGACCTACAAAACAAAAAGATACCAGCCTTTAATCTTGGCCATAACTTTTGAACAGTAGTAGTTTATAGGGCTTTCAAGCTTCACAAGTTTGCTCATTGTGACAAGACCTTTCTGTGGATATAAATATTATTGACCTTTTGACCTTGAGTTTGATACCCTTTTAAAAATCTTAACATTTGCTATAACTTTTGAACAGTTAGAACTAGGGTTTTCATACTTTACAGGTATATTCCTTTTAACAAGTCGTTTCTTTTGGGTACCGACACTTTGACCTTGACTTTGGAGTTTGATATCATTTAAGAATAGTCAAACCTCGCCAAAAGCTGCAATAAGGGGGCATCAGTATTTCACAAACACATCTTGTTTTTAAATAAAGAAATGAAATAATTATTGAGAAAAATTGAATAGCGAACTCTTATTTAAATACGAGGGGAATCAAAAAGTATGCGAACTATTTCAATATTTACAAAACCACAATTCAGATCAGAGTAAATTTGGCACATACACATACACATAGAGTCATACACATGTTCCATAAATAAAATATGTCATAAAATGTTTTGCCCATGTTTGTGACGTCACAATGTGAAAATGACGTCAATATATAGGTCACTTGTGACAAAAAAGGTTGACATACTCGTATTTGAGAAACTAACGGCTGTAAAGTTATACATATATCTCGGAAATTCCTGTGTAAAGCTTATAATAATTTGTACATGGTTTATGAAGACAAAACACTCGCCAGAACTTTAGTCATTAATTGGATTGATTGCTTATGAGAAGGAAGGGAGATGTTAAAAAAATGATGTTTGTTCTGTCGCCCAATGAAACCAAGCTGGGCATGATACGTGTCCTTCGGTAAGCAATTAGATATGAAAGATCGACAAATTACAGTTTAGAAAATAGTTGAATATTTTTACCATAAGCACCCATACTTTTTCCCAAGTGAATAAACGACGCTCCAAAGAGAGAGAACTTGGGTTTTGATTGTCACCATGCTCATTCTGAAAAAGAATATCATTATCCACCCACACTATTGCCAAGATTTGGCCATTTCTAACAAATGACTGTTTTTCTTATAAAAAAAAATAACTTGCAAGGTAAGAAATATAAGAGTCAGAGAAATCTTTAAGCTTCTGTGACAGAACGATAACGAACATGTCACGCGACCGCCTATATCACATGATCCACATATGGGCAGAACGGATGCAGATGCGTATTAAAATCGGAGAGGACTACTTTGAAAAACCTTTAACACTGAAACTCTATATATTTTCTTTTTTGGAAGTTATTCAATTAGTTCGCGAATTCTTTATCACCCCTTCTAGGTGACAAATTCATAACTCTTTTTCAGCCAAGAATATTTTTTGTATTTTTACAGAATACTATAAGGCCTAATGTACGAAGAATAGAGGTAAGGTATTTAATAATTATTCGGTTATACGGTACAAATTAGTATTGAAAACACTTGTAAAAGAAATATTTTAATTTATAAAAATCTTTGTGACCAAAGTCTACTTTTTAGGGAAATATTATGACTTCACAAAAACGTCAAACAGACGAGTACTTTTGAAGCATGTAATTTACCCAGAGACCACTAAGTAAAGAGACTGATACATTCAAGTTTTTATTTTGGTTGATTTTGTGTTCAGTAATTTATTTAATATGAAGAAAGTAAAATTTAACAGTTTTTTCTCTCCGTATTTTTTTCTTACCTCATTGCCTTGACTTTGCCGCTTGGCCTACTTTTATAAAACGATATTCTTGGTTTTAGTCTCTGTTTTTATATTGATAGAATTTTCACATTTGACAACTGTACATATGTACATAAAACGTACAAAATACTAAAAGCAATTTTTGAGCATGGATAAGTCTTCGATTAACTGCTATAAGCAGGCATCAGTGTTCTACATACGCATTTTGCTGATTTATTTTACTAAATTGTCTTTACATGTTTATCCAGAATGATTTTAAAATAGATTTTGCTTGAGACTGTTACGAAAAATACAATTCAATAATGTAATTATATCAAGTCTGTAAATCTATAAATTGATATATATATTGATGACTTGAATTTCGAAGAAATGGTGTTCATGATGTTCCATACTCCATATACATGAGAATTTAATTTGGTAAACATTCCATTCAATTGTTTACATTTTCTTGACTTTCTTTTTCATTTTCTTTTAATTTCTTGTTTTGATTCCTTTAGGTTAGAGAACGATCTTCTGAACAGCCATCAACAGAGGTAAGCAAGAGCTCTGTTAAAGCAAACTTGACCTTTAGTATGTCGTAATCTAAATAAATCACATCATTGTTTATTACTGCACATGCTATTTGATGAAGATGGGCGCTATTTCCTAAGCTATTTGTAAAACGGGAAAGATTCTTGGTTTTCTTTGAATATTGTAATCATAAAAATTATTCGTTTCTGAAAGTTTATTTATTATGACTTTATTGGTCAGAGAGACTTTTTTAATAAAAAAAATGCTATCACTTTAGAGCTACATTTCATGCTCCATTGAAGAATTTGTAAAACCTCCAAACGGTTTCAAATAAAAGCAGACTAGTCATATTTTATATAATTGAACGTGATGAAAAGGCACAAGTTATTTTCCATTGAAAAAAAAATCAATAATTTTTAAAATTTTAATTTTGGTATTTTTACAGAATACTGATGATCCTTTTGTGCAACCAGAACCTGTGGTAAGCCATTCAATAGTTATTTAACAGTACAATTAGAAAGGCACTCTTTTCTGTATTTATGACGTCTCTAAAGAGTAAAAATAATTCGAATGAGACATTAATTACCATTCTATACAATAATTGTTTTTGAGGTCAATACTATGATTTATCCACCTTGCTATAACAATGTTGAATATTAAACTTCGAAGGTGGCTAGATCATCGTAATAACTGAAAAAGAGCATATTTTTTTAATTGTATATTTATGATTCAATGATAGCATGATACAAACTCAAGCTTACTTAAGGCACCAGATCTGATATAATTTTATGTTGTCTACAGGGGATAAGGGTTTTCCAAAGTTTCAATTTGCATTATTTGTAAGTTTTATGGGATTGAACATACAAGTAGTTCGTTTCCTTCACTTTTACGTACCTAACTAGGGTTTAGTAATGTAGAGATCATACCAATGGAACTCATTACTTGATGTTATTACACCTCAGAAACCTTTTCTTTATAAAGAAGGGTAATGTTGTCCGATCCTCAGATCCCGGAAATTAGGAGTAGAGTTATTGATAATGCTCATCAATTGTCTCTGATTTCTTAAAATAAAGTGTATATACCCATGATTTTTCTTTGAAATTCATCATTAAAGTTAATCATATTATGAACGGGAAATTATCAAATCTCAAATAAATTAACAGGAAATTCAATTCAAAGCACCCGCAATGCACTTTCTAAATGAAAATTGATCAACAAATATATGTAACAATAAAAGTATAGATATCCAGGCATTTTTGGGAATTACATTTTTTTAATACTTATACGATACTTCAATTTTTAGAACATATATAGTATAAACATTTGTACTATCAATGTAAGAAATCACATATCACCTATTATTTCATATCATGCCTAAAAACATCGATATTTAAGACTTGAATAAAGGAGATTTGATTTCTCTAAAAATATACGTATTTTTGTACTTCATGAGGTAAATTTTCTCAAATTTTTACAAGACTTCGAAAAATTTTGATTCAGACAGAGATTTTTAAAAAGTGGAAATTGTTGCACAAGAAGATTTCAATTTCAAGCTTTATTCTAAAACTTTTTAAATTAAATTACAATTTTAAGAGTTATCCTTCCTTGCTGAGGATCGAACACCCTTAAACGCCCTAATTATGTTTAAAAATATCCATTTTTATTAGGAATAGAAAAAAGAAAAATGCTTGATATTGAATTATTCTTCAGAAAGATAATTTTCTTGTATTTCAGAAGAAATTTATAAAACCCGGGAAACGAAGACGACCCAAGTAAACCATGTACGTATTTTTAACCATATTTTTTTCTTTCTATTCCTCTCTATAGTGTGTTTGCCTTTCAGATGTATTGCATGATCTGTTAGGGTCTGAGCACTTCAAATTTCCCCATTTAAAAAAATTGATTTTCGTGATCAACAATAGCTTTAGATTCAAATGGAAAATAGTTGAAGCATGAAGCGTTGCTTACTTTTTAAAAATGAATATGATAACTAATCATGATGTGAAGAAATTTTGATATGGTTAATAGAAATATCAATATTTATCTAGCTCACAATGAAATGAAAAAATTAATTTATATATGAAAACAAGCGAATAAAGAGCATTATGATGTCTTTGAGGTTGAGATGCCATTGTTTAAAGCAAATCATGTCAAATATGGACGCCCTATCGTATGACATTCAAAAGGTATCACGAAAGTTGATATTTTTTGATTAGTTAAAATATGAAGTTCAAGGGGTCAGAAATCGTAGTATACTCGGAAATATCTTAGCACCGGTAATATACATGTTAAATATGAAAGCCCTATCTCTTCTCTATCAAAAGTTATAAAGAAAAAATATTTTTGAAAAGTAGGTAAAAACGTGATGACTTTAACTTTTTAATCGTCAACTTCTGTTACTTTTGCAGCAATATGCCTTTGTCGCCTGCATACGGAGTTCATATCTCAGTTCATTCGATACGCAAGAGCATGCTCTACTAAGTAAATTACTGACAAACAAGTTGATGAAACAAGAATATCAGCAGTCTCGTTTAAAGTCATCATTTCGTAAGTTCTACACGTATGGTCGACACAATGACCTTGTCAGCAAATACAATTTGTCATTGAGTCAAATGCTGACTGAAGTTTTTCATACTAATTGTTAGTCCATTATTTACACACTGAATTGACGACGAATTTTTCCATTATTTCCCGACCATGACAACACGGCAGGTGTGACCGGTCGGCAGGGGATGCTCAATCCTCCGTGTCACATGATACCACTGTTGCAAAGGTCTTGTCACGGATAATGCACATATGTAATATGAAAGTCCTATCTCTTCTCATTCAAAAGATATGACCAAGGTTAAAGTGTTTGTAATAGATGGACAGACGTATGAGATTTAATGTCACCTTGCTTTTGCGAAAGCGGGGAACAATAATATATAAATGGTGCCTGTTTTGGAGGCACTATTTATTTTATTATACTGAATGTCTTCTTGATTTAGGATGTCAGAAAAAAAATCGTCGATCGTCTTTACGTTCACGTTTAGAAACTTTCAAACTCCACGCTACTTCGAAAAAGATTTACTGACCTCTTTATTGTTTATTTGATACTCTAAGATTCCTTTATCATCTAAATTTTCGTTATTTCTCGTCTGTCGTTTGTTGTTTTCAAGTAAGCTACATCGCCGTGAGCGGACGCAAGCTTTCATTGACGTCAAGTTTATTCCGGTTTTTTCAAACGCACAACTGACGTTTTGAGAATTCTACGGTGAACCGTACGCACATAATTTCCACGCATATGACACTACCGTTGTGTTACCCATTGTCACGTGTGTTGCTAAGGCTGAGGGTAATAGAACAGATTGTTAACTGCGTCTAAACCAATCAGATTTTAGTATTTAACATGAAAGTATAATAATATTTACTATCATACCTACCTAAGGATGTATTCACTATGACAAAAGAATTGACCTATAGGAGAGAACAATTTCCCGGAAAAAGTGACATTTGAAATGTAATCTTTATTTGTTGTTTTCTATCGTATATATGTCTAAATTTTTCAAATTTGTATTTTATACCTAAAGTTTATTATTTACAACTTTACAGTAAACCTCCAAAGTTGGCTGAAACACCATTTTGTCCGTTAAAGCGTTGATTTATGCATGGATTTTGGCCTGGAAGTCCCCCAGGGCAGGCCTGCCCCTAAATGAAAATGTGATATTTTGATAGGTTGGGATGTAAAGAATAATTTAAGATAGGATTTTTTAGGGGCACCCCTGCCCTAGGGTAGAATTTCACAAAAAAAAAAAAAAAAAAAAGAAAAAAACTACAAAAAAAATAAGGAAACCTGATTTTGATAATCTGCTTCAAATTTATATACTAGTACCTTAATGTATATAGTCAGACTAGCTCAGTTGATATATACGCTGACTTTTTTTACACCGTGGAATCTTTTTTTAAAGTCGGGGGGTTCGAATCCACCTGGTACCACACTTTTAAAGTTCTAAATTTCGCCTTTTCAAAGACTGTTTTTTTTTATATAGACTTGTGTTTTTTCCTTCAATTATCTATCCTTTATGCATACCCATTCTTGATGTAAGAAACACTAAGGAGATATCAAATCGTAACAATCCAATGTACAGTTGTCAGTCAGGCGGAACAAACGTCAGTATAAGTACACTTTCTCCGAGGACAAGAATAACTCACTATGTGTGTTACTCAATGCGGGTATTCTTGGCAGCAATGAGCTACGATTAATTTCAATTGTATATATTCCTTAAAATTTAATCACATTGATTTTGCTACATATATCAGTAATTGGATTTCATTTAGGCCTATATAATTTGCACACATTAATGACATGTTTTTATATATCCACGGATAAATAGCCTAGAAATAAAGAATAGAATTTCAGAGACAGTAGACTGTGCACAATGAGAAGTAATGACAAATCTCATAATCAATTATTATATTTGGGGATAACTGAAAAAAAGGAAAAACAAATTGTTATATGTATTCAGCATAATGCCATTAATCAGAACGGAAATCGACAAGCTTTTTGTAGAGAAAAAACCAAGCCCGGTCCTATAGGTCAGATCCCTATTCATAATGAAGTGATCCTTTAGAAAACATAATGAAGCGTTTGCTTTTAAAATCAGAAAATAATGTTTTCTGTGCTTATGAAATAAAATGCATCCATCTACAAGAGTTATCTTTTTATCGATCTCGAAATTAACCTGTAGTGAAACAAAATAATTATTTGTTGATTATTTAAACTTTGAATCGGCAATTTCAGTAACAGTGAAAAGATTTGTACTTTAAGAGATAGAAATATTTCACGGTCTTAAAAAAACTGAGTATAAATGTTCAATATGCAAACAAACACAAATACACATAACTGCAATAAAATGTAAGAATTAAAAAAAAATGATAATGTAAGATAACCAGCACGAACACACGGGTCGCCATTCCACGCCGATATCCGAGACAAAAAAGCAGTCAGGTGTAAATAGCGCGAAGAGTATACGCTGGTGCTGATATATCGTTTGTTTGTTTGTATGTTGTTTAACGTCCCTCTCGAGAAATTTTCACTCATAATATGGAGACGCAACCACTTTCCTTTACTCGGCACTTACGGCCATTGAGCAGTGAGGTATCTTTTTCGTTCCTGTACCTACTGCGACAAGGGGCCTCGGTTTATACGGTCTCGTCCGAAGGACCGGTCTCCACGTCCCACGGTGGGATTCGAACCCGCGACTTAACCACTGCGCCAGGCGGGCGACTGATATATCGTAGATAGTAATATCGAAATGGCGTATGCCTATTTACGAGTCAATGGTCAGCTTTAAATATTAAGTAAATGTTGCGTTTTACCATGAGAAGAATTGAACAGCGGAGAAATACTTATAAACATCCAAATATGACATATAAATATCAAAACTACGAAATTTCTAATATCTTTGAATAAAGAATGACCTCAAATTTCTGATTTATTCTATTTTAAAAAGCATAGAATGAAGTAATTTGATGATTAGAATATTCAACATTTCCAATGTCTTTGTCCGAGATAAAATTACAAAAAGTAAAAATACTAAATTCAACTGATTCATCGATAGGCGCGGTTTAAAAAAAAATCACATGCAGGGCGGGACAAAAAGAGACCTCAGCGGGGCTTGAAGCACGTGAATTTGCAGAATCAAGAGCATGTTAATATAAGGAATAACTGTCAGATTTTTTTTGGGTTTCATGACGATTATCAATCGATAGGCTTTGTGATAATTTTATGCATGAATGCCCTCGGCGATTATGCAAATTATCATGCAAGCCACTTGATTGATCCCACCATGAAACAAAAAAATAGTGAATTTTTCTAAATAATCACTCACTGTTTAGTTGTAGACTAAATAAATAATTAAGTTTTAATTACTACAGAAGCATGTGACATTTTTATGATTGTTGTTGAACGTCCCTCTCGAGAATTTTTCACGCATTAGGAGACCCCACTTGCCGATGGATAGTTGCAAACTTAGTCCTACACTCGGCACCTCCCATCATTGAACAGGGGGGAATCTTTTTCGTGCCAGCATCTACTGCGACACGGGACCTCAGTTTGTACGGTCTCCAACAAAGGACTGGTCATCACATCCCACAGTGAGATTCGAACCCGTGGCATTTTCATGAAAATCACAGCTAGAGCAAGAGTGTTGTCGTAATGATCAATCCAATGGAATCCCTTCATACACGATTTTTTAAAATGAATTTTATTTCTGGAATATCTTCACCGTCAATTTTAATTGAAATAGGTAATTAAAAAATTCATCATTTTGCATTCATTTTTCTTTTCACCCAATTTTACCCGCGTAGCACTGTGCGAAAAAGTTCAAACTATGGAAAAAGTGTTAGATGTAGTCGATTCTGATTGTACGAAGATATAAGTAAAAGTACAAGTACAAACTTTCCTTGACAAAAAATCTCAGTTAAAGCATTTTGTGAAATTGTTTTGGCATTTACACTATCATTTAGGAATATATCACTGTGTTCAAAAAAATATTATTTAAGTAATAAACCAGTTTTCCCTTTTTCAGTTATAAAATTGAATAATGGTTTCAGCAAGCTATCTTCATTCTTATTCATTAGTATTTTTTTCCTTTCACAACAGAAAAATATCTTATTGGTTTGCTTCTTAAAATTACATTTAATTGTTGAAGTTTATTACACGACATCGAAAGAAATCTTTAACAACAAGTTACGGTTTTATATTAATAGTTTAGTTTTGCAGTTACTAACAAAGAAGTTGATGACACAAGAGCATTAAGAATATTTAGTTTATGACAGACTGTAAAGTGATGGATTTTTTTTATTTTGAATTGTCCACCGATTTCCCCGATAATTTTATTATTACAAGGGGCTGATGTAGAAATGACCATTCAATAGGGATTTTAGTAAATCTGTTAAAATAGCCTCAAATGTTTATAATAAAATAAAACCAAAGGGTTAACGGAATGATGATAAATGTGAATGTTAATTTGAATGCCTTGATTAAGGGGAATGTTTACCTCTTCATGGCGCCTGGTCTTACCTCTGATGACTCAACTTTTATTTATCTAGAATGATCTAATACCGGTTAAAACTCAAGCAGGTAGCCTTTTCCACCTTTTATCCATTTTTTTCATACATTTTCTTTCAGTAATAATCTCGAATTTAAATTCAAACAGGATGCCGAGGAATCCTGTTAAAGCACACTTTATATCACGATTTTTGAAATTTATTGTTCATGTACGATACATAGAAGACCAAATCCCATTCAATAATCTGTTTTTCTGCAATATGTATTGACGGCAGAATATACATGTATGGATGTGTGTATGTGTGATTTTATATTACAGGGAAAAAGAAAACAGAACATTCTGAAGAAGACTACGACTCTGATTAAGAGGAATATTTACAAGTTCAAATGCTCAATACTCAGTCATTATCTACGTCAGAGTAATAATCCCAGTGCATGTTACAAGAACAGTTCTTAAAGCCATCGAAGAGCCTAACAACTATGATAAGATAAAGCTCATGACAACACAGAATTCCGGTGAAAGGGGGCGGAAATAAGTTCGCCTCGAAGAAGACTGTCTCCTTTTGTAATGTTGTTAACTAATCGTAGTTGACAGTGGTGATTAAGAAATCATTTTCATATATCATTTCTGCAATGTTACGGAATACTGTAAAATCACATATTTTTGTGGGCGCGTCAAATTTTTAGTCTCAGAAAAAAATAAGCATGATAAGGGTTCGAAAGGATTTGATTTCGCGGATGAAGAATTGATGAGTAAAGATTTATGCCAAAAATTACATTTCGTGGTGGACATAAATTCATGGGTCTCTTCGTACATCGAAAACAACGAAAATTAAAAAATCAGCAAAAATTTGATTTTATGGTATATTTTTGCCAGTTGAATGCACCAGTTTTTATGTCTTTAAAAAATACAAAAGCACACAAATATCAGATCTTTGGCTTTTTTTATTGCTTGAAGCAAACATTTTAGTTTAGTAACATAATTGAAACTTTTGAATGCACAAATTTTGTGATCGATAAAAAACTAAAAACAATGAAAATCTATGGAGAGGGAATAACATAAAATCCAAACGAGGGATGAAATTCCATAGTCAAAGTCGGTTTTAAAACAATTACCTAACAATTGGTACGTAATAAGTCAATGCCGTTAAATTAAATTTTGGCTGACTTGTTTCATACCACTTGTAAGGCCAATATATTGAAAATGTTTTTATACTGAATTTGACTACAGCATGTTCTGGCTATATTATCAATACCTCGGGCTCACGGCGAACGTTAAAGACCTGTTAAGCAACTGATTTCACCTCTGGAATTTACAAGGATACTTTTTAATGGCCTCTTTATATATTTGAATTCTTTATAGATTTTTTTGGAGATGGTCACTTTATTCATAATCTTCACTTTTTACATTTTTGGATAGCATTACTATATTCTTAACAATGAAATACTGTAATTCATTCAAAACAAAAGATAAACCATGCTGATATTGACAAAACCAGTACAATTTTCTCAAGAATAGTGTTGCATTTCCAGTTTTTAATTAATCTCATCATCTTTAAAGCCATCCGCAAAATATCATCAGATTTTGTTGCTATAGTTCATGTTTATTGACGTCATACAATTTGACGGTAAGAAAGATTTCAACATATTCTACTTATTGGACACTCCAATATTATGAATTTTTCGGTCATTGGTTTCTGTGATTTCAGCTGTGGGTAGCTAGGTAAACAGAAGGTAATTTCCTAAAAAAAATAGTAATGCGGACAAAAGCCTGACATGTAATTTCTGGTTCTCAACAAACGACAGACGAAACATGCTTGTGAGTGCAGAAATAACGAAACTTTATATGATAAAGGACACTTAGAGTATCAAATAAACAATAAAGAGGTCAGTAAATCTTTTTCGAAGTAGCGTGGAGTTGGAAAGCTTTCTAAACATGAACGTAAAGACGATCGACGATTTTTTTTCTCTAAACAACTATATATTGCATATCTGTACAAAACATCGTGTCATTATGATTGCGACCTAGGTAATAGTGTCCTGTGTGGTATTTCTGAATTTCAAGAAAGATAACGACCAATGAATATTTATTCTTTATATAAACATCAGTGACATAAAATAATATTTGTCCACCTTCCCTCACTTAATTTTGCTTGTGGTCTTCTGCAAAGATAAAGACATAATGTCATGTAAGGAGAAGGCAATAGATGTGATGTGATTAAATATCTCAAAATCCACCAAAAACCAAAACAGGAAAAAAAAGTTTTCTAATTTCCCAACATACCTGTTTTATCCAAAGTATGTATAACCTGGATAGGGATATGGGTATGGTAAAGGGTACGGCACATACTGAGTTCGCCTCCCACCGCCAAAGGCACGTCCGAACAGAGGGGCCAATAACAGGCCCCCCAGGAAAGCCCCTCCGAAATTGTTCTGGGCCATGGTAAGTCCGGCGACAGAGAGAACGAACATCAGCGTCAAGATTCTCTTCAACATCTGAAGGTGAAGATTGATCGATTGATCACTGATAGTTATTCAAAGAAGAGTATGCTTTTTACAAAGAACAAAAACAACAACCAAAAACCCTTTAGTAACAAGTTCCAAACAAAGTCTCCTCGGCCATTTTGTTTGTTTTTGTTTCGAGAAATGTGAATTGTTCTGTGTAATTAAGTTATTTACTCTGTACACTTTAATCTTTTACATGTGTATTTCTTTTAAACTTAGCGACAACCCCGCTACTAATCTAAACAACCCAAACCATGTTCTTTTCGGTTGCAGTGATAACCGTGGAAGACTGGATTCTATTTGTGTTCTTCATGTTCTTAGGGACAATAAAGATTTTATAAACGAGAGCATTTAATTTGAAATAAAATTAAATTAACTAAATACAATTTGTATATAACTTGGCGTCTTTGCATGCACCTACGCTATATAGATTTCAGCTAGGCTAACACAAATTTTAAAAAAATTGATGCAAATTGCGGAATAAATATTTATTTAATTTCTTGTAACAAGGTAATATTTTTTTTGAAAATCTACCAATTCATTAAAAACGATCAAAATTTTAGACTAAAATTGCGCTTAATTGCAAATCGAGAACTTATTCCACGTAATAATATATTTTAACTTCTGGAAATGTACGATGACAATTTCTCATGAACCCAAGAGTTCGTGGAGAAGGTACCCCTAATTTTTAAATTTCTGTACAATTTAAATTGTTCATAACAAACAATATGTAAATGTTAAAACAAACAAATCGATTTTTTTTCTGAAAATCTTTTTAAAACTATATATGAATTCTACGGCCCGCGCGCGGACGAAGGAAAATGAAAATTTTATAGAAATCTTTAAACTTCGGGTGAAATATTCTTCATGTATCTATAAGCATAGGATTAAATGGAAAAAATGCAAGATATTGAAATAGATTTAATTTGGTACGTGTACTTACTGTTTTCTTTCAGAGTTTTCCGGTGATTAAGCTTTTTTATGTTTGAGCGGATTTAAGTCTGTTGTACGGTAATTAAACTGTCTCATGTTGATTGATGTTCAACACAAAGTAAGTATAACATAATTAACGGGAACTCAGTAACATGGAATAAGTTTTAATTATATACTAACTAAGGACAATGTAATTAATATGTCGTGTAGCAAGGTGTTATATACTGAGGTATCCTTTATGGCCTTTGTTATTAGTGTTTGTGCCCGACAAGTAGTTGGTGGGTATCACTTGTACAGTGTAGGTAAACTTAAGAAAAAGATAAGGGATAAGCGAAACAAAAGATCGAAGATTAAAAATATAATATATATAGATCTACAAGTGAACTCAATTATATTAGACCCCATGCGTTTCACAAATGAGAACTTTGCCGAGAACATGCACATGTGTCTTTGCTTGGATAAGGCAAAAAACCAATAAATTAATAAAAAGGAATTCATCGCTACATTTAAAAAAAAAATCTTTATACCCTTACTGTCAACCCCAAACCGTAACGTGGTAAACCCTCTTACATTACATGATGAATATCATTGTCCATATTAGTAGTGACGATTAAATGTATATATACAGATTGACAGTGTTGATTAAAATAAAATATAAATGTACATTTTCATAATCGGTACATATGTTGGTTACATGTACAAAGGAGTTGGGCAAACAAGGCGAGTAAAGGCCTGTGTCAAATAAGGAAGTGAAAAATTAATTCTCAGATATGACAAAAATTTATATCTCCTTTTTACAATAACATATGGTTTAAATAAATTGCGACAACCAAACAAAGATTTTTAAAAGTCTATATTCCTCTATGAATAACATGCTTATACTAAAGAGGGCAAAAATAATCAATTCTACATACATGTATTAAAAAAAATTTTCTCACTGATTTCGAACCTAATAAAGCCAAATAAATTTATTTTAAAAATTTAAGAGCATTTTTACCTTTCAGTGTCATGAACTATGTACACTCTAACTACAAAATTTACAAATTGAATTAGAACTTTTGTAATTTGAACACGGGCATTTTACATGCTTTGTTCGTCCATCTCCCTTCTCAAAAATACACTCCCAAAGGTGGAGACAGATAATCCTTTGCCGAGATGTTAGCATAACAATGTACATTAGCTGACTGAGCTACAAGCAATGACTTGGCATTGTATATCAGTTTTAAAATATTGCTCCCCCCCCCGAGTCTTTTATAACAAAAAGAATGTAGATAAGAGACTAGCGATTAGCGCGCTTTTCTGCCTACAGGATATTTAAAGGCTTACTGTTTGGATGCCCTATCCTGACCCCAATTATGTTTGGCAATTTGTATTATTCCTTTAACCATTTCTATACCTTGGAACTCCTACTGTTGGCATATTCCTACCATACATTAATCCACAATATTTGACAACTTGTAGCCTTATAGTAAGGCGTATGAAAGATTTTAAACCCACCCACCCCCTCACTACACCCCTACCCTAGCATAGCTTTAAATATAATAATCTCAGTCTGTATCAGAGTACATGTACTTCAATACATTTCATCATTTATGCAGTATGGATCGCTCAGCGTTTAGGGAACAGTCTCCTTACTTCTTCTCTCATTCCCAGTTTTATCCCTTTAGCCCTTTACTTTAAACATCCTTCATCCATTGAACATTCTTTGTAGAAAGTTTGGATGTATACTGTTGGTTCATTTCATTCCTTTTTTGTTGAAAAGCACCTTTTGAATCCTTAATTCAATCATTTTACCACACAAGACGGGACCAGTACTTGATCCAGTATCACGTACCCTGGGCACTAAAAAAATACACACAACTAGGAGTTTAAGGTAGGGATTTTAATTATTTATTAATGAAGCAAACATAACAATTCTAGACTACAAAACAAAGTTGCATAACTTAAAACTTGGGAAGCACCTTAAGACAGTTCGTTTCTACTCAGTAGTTAGTATCACATAATCTACTGTACAACACGAGGGGAGGGGTCATCGCTCGTCCTGAATTACAGTTTTAATATCATCTACAGTAAAACATGAACATATTTAATGAAGGATAATTTCTCCTATCTTCAGAGCACATCTTAAGTCTGTGCATGTTTTGTTTTTGTTAAGAGATTCTGAACACTAAACTGAACACATTTAACTTTTGATAATCCACTATTTCTAGCTAAAATATACTACTTGTATGTATGTAATGTCCAAAACTTCTGTCAAAAAATTGTCATGTATCAAAAATTAAAGGTTACAAAATAAAACAAATAAAATATTACAAAATTTGAAAATCAAGAATTTAAATCTAATTAAATGTGTCATCTTTAATAAACATTGAACCAAAAAATATACAATTCTTATTGGTTTCCTTACTCTTTTAAATGCTCTACAAATTAATGCAATTTATACCCCAAACTACAATTTCATCCATAAAAGTTTAAAATAACACTGTATTGATAGACTCCTGATGAGGTAGGATTGTTTCTCTGAAACTACATGTAGTACCTGGCCGCTTTACCATAAACTGAAAACCGACTTCAAATCACTGAAAATTTTAAAATCACTTTGTAAATGAAACTAAATTCTCAACATATTTAAGAATTTTATGTTTTCTTATTAAACCTGCAAATTTTAATAACACATTAGGTAAATACAACTGGAGATATTAAAAATTTTGAAATCAGTCTGTTCTCAGTCTATGGTCTTGAGGTCTGGAGTATAAAGGGATTTTCCCATTACAGAGATTCAACTACAGAAAAAACATATAATGTATGGCTTTTTGCACATACATGTTAACTTGATCACTGAAAATAATTCACAAATACTAAACAAAATAATATGAGTTGCTGAAAGAGCATGACTTTTATAATAATATTCAATGTTTGCACCAATAGATTAAGTCATGAGACCTGTTTGTTTTTTTGAATACAACCCCTCAGATTTTTTCTTTGTTTAATGGACAATAGAATGTCTTCCAAGATATAATTTTTTTTTTCATTTTTTGAAAAAATTAATTATGACCATTTGGTAATTATGTTTTCTTGTGGTAATTAATGCATTGATATGAAAAGAGAGTCCAGTATATAACATTTCTATTTCTTATACTAGTACATCATTAATCTTCTATCCAAAATATTTCATCTGTTACATACATTGAAATCACACGTTTATGTAAAACATAAACAAATCAAAACTATGACATTTTCAGGTAAATGTATATCTATAAAATTTGCTATATTAACTGTGTACACTACTTATTAAGACTTTTATACAATGTACAGACCCTAAAACGTGCTACTACACCTCAGAAACGAACCGTACCGTTCCGTGCACAAAGCGTACCGTACCGTTCTCAAAGCGTACCGTACCGTCCACAAAGCGAACCGTTCCGTGCGAGAAACGAAACGTACCGTCCACAAAGCGAACCGTTCCGTGCGAGAAACGAAACGTACCGTCCTCAAAGCGAACCGTTCCGTTCTCAAAGCGTACCGTACCGTCCACAAAGCGTACCGTTCCGTGCAAGAAACGAACCGTACCGTCCTTTGGTTAATTATGCAAACCACGCCCCCAATTATTTTCGAACCGTGCAATGACCAAATAAGTAATTTTGGTTTATTTCTCGCTATGGCGCCCGTGAAGGGAGGACGTAGGTTGTCCCTGGCTGTTCGAAACACCATTATCAAGTACCACGCATCTGGGCTTTCATCTGTAAAAATAACGAAACTTCTCGAAGCAAACTACAACTTCAAAACAACTAGACAGAGTGTAAGACGATTCCTTATTCGCTACAAATCAACGGGTTGTGTTCGTGATCAAAGGTACGTAGTTTTATTATTCATACGGATGAGATATCTTGTCATGTGTAATATGTTACCCAAAATTATAATTTTCCAATTTTGTTGAGCTTTTTAAAAAGTTATTTTTCATTTTTACTAATTTCTGCTAGCGAAAAAATTTGCTTTGGACATAGAACCTGGGATTTCATGCAGTATACGCAAAAAATTGTTTAATTGTCGTTTGTGATCCATGTACAGATACATATGAAAAATGGTAACGAACTGAAGAATCATTTTTAAGCTTAAATGTTGAAATGAAAATATGTAAATTCCTTTGTCTTGTGCATGTATTTTTTTTTTTTTTGCATACGATGTACAGACTGTACGTACACGTGTACACATAGGTTTGTCTTCCTCTTTGAAGAAGAAAAAATGTTAGTTTACAATCATCAAATGGACAAACCATTTTACACCAACAAACTAAATTGCACGATGTATTTAATCTATTATGAGTAAAATGCATGTCTAGATATTCATGTAGAAGGTTTTTTTTTAATTCTCAAATGAATTTTGGAATCGTCCATTAAATCGGAGTATGCGTAGACATTTTTTTTCATTAAGTAGTCTATGTTCTTTTCATAGGCGTTCTGGAAGAATATGAGTAAAATCCCCGGTTATAAATAAACATTTCTTTTTTTACCATGTAAACTATGGTAACTTTTGGGATTTAGAATGAAATATTTAATTCCGGAAAATGTTCGTCCAGTGGTAGGATTCCTTTTTTACTTAATATTTATCAAAATGGCCGACGTACTGAAGCTTTACATATTGAGTAAGCATGACAACTTCATGTTTAAAGATTACGCACCTAAGGAACAACTTTAACATTCATATAAAGGTAACATTACTACAAAACAAGTATTTGTTTTAATGCACTTAAAGTATTAGATAGTAACTGTTCAATTTGGTGTAGCTCAGCCTCAATCGCCTTCTCACCGACACCATGCTACGTTTGTTGACACTGTCGAGTTGACATGATTGCCCGATCATTGATCAGGGCCAACGTATTGAAATCTTTGGTTAAATTACTACACGTAGTTTTAATTTTCTACAAACATTAGCGACCCAATAATTTTGAATTACCCTTTGATTAGTCGGGGAAGTGCAAGCTAACAGCATGTGAAAGATGGGTACTACTTAACAGAGTACGCTAGAGTACTTTAGAGTACGCTAGAAAATTTATGTTATTTAAAGCAATTAAATTGTTCATTTATGTATGTACAACTTGATTAAACATTATTATAAACTTATTTTCCAATATTTGTTTCAAATATTTGTTTTTAGCGATATTTTGACAAGAAATAACATCCAAAATTAAACGCAGTAACAGTATACCTATAGCTAATACACCCAAATCTCGATTCAGACTTTCGCACTGAAGACTTACATCTATATACTATCAAATATTAAATTTATTGCATGTGTAAATATTTTTCACATTTACAAGGAGACATTTTAACATTTTTAAATTAAATTAGATCGGGATCTAACGATCAACCGTAACCTGAAGTCAAAAATTGAAATAACTCCTAAAATAAAGAAAACTTACATTTTTTCAAAAATATATATATTCAATATGTTATACTAAAGTTGAAAAACATATAAAAAGTAGTTTAATTGCATTAATGGGATGCACCCTCAACAAACAAAGGGTAGAGATATAATTTTTACATCTATTCTATTTAGCCAGAGAACAGTTGTTTAATGTATTCAATTGTAACACTTAGCACTATAGAGTGTAGGTATGCATTCTTTTTAGTTCAATTTCATCAGATAAGAATTATAAGAATACTTGTAATTGAGTCAAGGACTTGTCTACTTTCAGTGACAATTTTAGCAATTATTGTTATGAACCCATTTATAACATGTATATTCTACCAATAAAAAAAAAATTGAAAATTTTGTGTGATGTATTTGTAATATATAACCACAACAAAGAATTTTTCCATCCTCAATATTCATATATTACATCAGAGTGATGTACCCCCTAAAAATGTAAGTCATTTTTTGTTAATGGTAGAGGGTATGATATACATGTAATGAATGAAATAATGAGCTTGAGCATATATAAACAAAAGATGATTCTCATACTCAGTTCATTTCACTTCAGGGTCAATTGACCTCTTCACAATGATTTTGACCTTAAACAATATTGTGCCTCACATATACATTATAAATATAATATGTATAAATAAATATTTTAAATGCCCATGCATTTCTAAAGTTGTGCAAAAAATAAATTTAAAAAACACACACATATAATTGAAATTCACCCCGACCTTACCCAGAATAAATTATTTGTTATTATAACTGATATCATTTTCTATTTTAATTTTATTCTTATCATATGTAATTACATTTTTTACTGATCAATCTATTTTTAACATCTCAGATATTTTACCATGTTTATGTTTGATGATTGAATGTCAGATTAATGTATGTTGCATGAATATCTATATATTTTAAGTCTGTTTGCTCAGTTATTTTACTAGAAATCATTGATAACACACACATATAGCACAGCCACAGTTTTGCACATTTTGAAAATCGGTGCTAATTTTAGAAGTTGGAAAAACCCTTGTATTGTGTATACATATGAAGATTTAATTTAAACAATATTTTATTATGTAAAGTAAGCTTACATAATTGGATTGGACATCAGGCATGGCCTACTGAGCTCAAAGTATCTCAAGTTCTAAACTGTAAGCCTATTTTTTTTAAGTCTGACTGTGCCCAGGGACTGGCTCCCAGCGTTTTTAAAATAATTATTATTCTCAGTTATTATACATAATTATGCAATACTAAAACAATATCAATATATTACATATGTAAATGTATTCCAAAAAATCTTACATTTTCCAGGCTTTTTAATTTTTTTTTATTTCACATGCCAGGAATTTTTCGGACCAGGCCTAATGTAAATGATAAGATTTAAAAAAAATATATCGTCAATTCTGCAGAACTTACGATAAAGCGCCATCCCTTCATCTCCACTTGATAACACATTACTGTTAATCACAAAATATTTATCAATACGCCTATGTTCTGCAGCTGTAATGACTAACTACTATTACTAGTCTCATGTGTGTAAGTGTCAATCTTACCATGTGCCATTTTGGGATGTCGATCCCGATGAAATATCCACTCCCCTATATATTTGCGCACGTCATGGAATTTACAACATGAAATTTAATTATAAAGTTTAGGGACAGAGTACGTGTTTAGTTAGATCTATGAACGGTCCATAGGGAACACAGGCGATTTGTAAAGAGGGAGAAGGGGGGGGACAAAAACAAGAAAGTGGTGCAAAGATTTTGGAGAAAGTTAATATACATGTAAATAAGAAAAAAATAGATAAACTGAAAGAGGGAAAGGATCCAGTCTAAATGTAGGAACATTACCTTACTGGTTCAATTCAAACTAAAATTTCTAGTTTTTAAAATTGTTGCAATATACCGCTAAATACGCTTCTTAAAATTAAATTCTAAAGTAGGTCAGTTTAGCCAGAACCTTACTGCATATATGCATTTACACGTGTTCAATTTTCCTGTGATAAGCTGCAGAAGAGGAGAATAAAAGTTGTTAATTTTATTATTCTATTACAGATTTGAAATTCAAGGACATCTATATTATGAGTAGCTGCAAGCAGATCTGTAGCGTTATGGTTTTATATATATTTGTCTCTGACCAACACGCTACAGATCCCGTAATGCAAAAAAGGTGCAATTTACGGTGGAAATTTTTTTTTGCGCACTTTGGGGGAAAATTTCTTCACTTTCCAGCATTGACTAATTAACAACCTTCATTGCCTAATTCTAGGCACATATTTTAACTAATATGTATGTTTTATCCACTTCCCAACCCTTAATAGTCGTCTATGAGTGATTAACTCGCATGATTGTATAAATTGTTAGTCTCAGTGCATATTGCCTGTAGATACAACTATATATGTATGGTTGGGAGGTGTATGAAATATACAAATTGGCTGTAGAATGTGTCTACAGTTAGGGAGTGATGGGTACATGTAGTTGATTTACCGATGCAAGAAAAAGGGGAAAATTCTCCCCCAAAGAGCGCAAAAAATATTGCGCCGTAAATTGCATCTTTTTGGCATTACGGGATCTGTATAGCGTCACAGTATGGTAAAGGACAAATATATAAAACCATAACACTACAGATTTGCAGCAATATTTTAAATATTTTTGTACAGAAAATATAATATATTTTGTTTCTTCCTAATAAGTACGTACATATGAATTGTATTATGACATTTTAATTTATCAGAGACCTAATTCATACCGTCGGAACCATGGGGGGGGGGGGTCTAGGAACTGGGGGGGGGGGGGGGGGTAGCCCCTCCACTTTTTCCCCCAAATATAAACTAAGTATAGACATTGGTTTTTGGAGAGAAAAAAATGGTACTGAAGTTCAAGCCTAACCACAATTAACACCCCCAAGTGCAAATCAAAGGAAATGAAAGTTTGAAAACAAATGCGTATAAATATAAATTTTAGCTTAATTTTCGACCCAGATCGGATTTGTAATTAATATAATGAAAATAATTATAAAATTAGATAACCAATTATTGACTTTTGAATGGAGTTTCAAGATCTAAAAATTTTAAGTGTTCTCATAATTAAGAAATAAATTATGATTTTCAAAGAACGAAAAAAATGATGTTTTGCGGGATGAAAAAAAAGGGAAAAAAAGCTGCCAGAAGTGAAATTACAAACAAAACAGTTTATAAGCAAACTGTTCAATTAAAATTATATCTCAGACATTGTTGATTATAATTCAACAAAGCATATACATGTAACTAAAAGTCTCATTTTTTCGCAACATTTTTCATACTGTTTTCGAAAACTAATTATTCAAATTTTAGAAGAAATGCTATTATACTTCATGTATAGAATTTTTCTTGAGGGTATATTTTCTACAATAATTTATATATTTAAATTATATTTATTAAGTCAGCTGCTACAGAGGACATTTGATTAGATACTTGTAAATCAATTCGAAATTAGGGGGGGGGGGGGGGTTGTGGTAAGGGGTGTTGTTTTTTACAGTTACGGACCTATATCACTCATATTTTTTTTATTTCAAAAGCGTATAGAAATACAAACTAAACAACATCAAAGAAAATTTAAAATATGGATTATGTAAAGGGACTTGTTAAAGCCATATATGGCGTAACTGATCAAAAAAAATATTTTTGAAAAATACAAAATTAAGTAAAGAAATATAGTTGATACATTTAAATTAAAGCTTTTCATACAATTCTGAACAGGGAGAACACCTCGTTTCATCTAATAATGCGATTTAACTTCTCTGTAATGTGTTATTTGAATCTTTTGTATTTCCTCCCGAGTCGGAGAAAATTCCGAGAATCCAAATTAAATTCTGATATCTTTTTAACGCAATTGATTTAGATTTTGTAATTTACGGAAAAGTTATATCTTTATATAAAGTAATGATACAAACAATAAGTTCTTATGATTTTAGTCCAATAATTTTCATTGTACATACGCCAAATATGGCTTTAACGATAAAATGACTACTAATAGTATAAGGGATAAATTGAAACACTAAAGATTTGGTACTTCTCTTTTTTACAATGTAATTAATTGTACAAACTGATACCTCAAGCACTATAGACTAAAAATCGTACTGTGAATTACAAATATGCAATGTTCAATGTATATACCAACATGAAAATAAGGTACTCTGTTCGCATTTTAAATACACTGTACTAAAAACAAATAAATAGATGTACTTACAGATTCTTCTTCTGCAGAAACAGCTGGAGTGGTTGTGAAGTAATTAAACGACGGTTTTATATCGGCCAACCAACTGAAGACCTTTAGCCCAGTCTATTGTCTTTTTTGGGAGAGGGGGTCAACTTGTCACTGGACTTGTGTGTTACATGTACACCAAATCGGGTACTCCTTCGAAGCCACACCACTACCCCTGTCACTGTTTTGTGTAGGGGGGGGGGGGGGGGGGTGTTTGAGGAGAGAGGGTTGTAGCTGGTCAACAAGTTTGTGTAGTACAGATCCCTCATAAGGTTTGCAACAATGCCACGTGCCGGCACGTGCTTACATGACAAATAATTTTTAATCGTTTATTTAAGAATAAAGAGACAGACAGATAGATAAAATGAATGAATGAATAAATAGATTGATAAATAAATATAATTATTATTTAATACAGTGTAATAATCTTGTCGATAATGCGTTTGGCACACTAATGAAGACAGAATACTAGATTGTACAGTACGTGCATTAAAATACATGTATAAAAGAAAAAAAAATTAATTTATGATATTTCTCCTCTGAAGCAAAAGTATAAATGATAAATCTACAATTTTAAAATAGAGAAACGATGTTCTTTAATTTTCTTATCAGTAAAAATAAAAGTACGATTAGTCATGTTGTTTTTCTATAATAGACCAATCAATTAAAAATAATTTATATAAATACGCGTTTAGTGCTATGAAATTATATAGATCAAGTATATATATATATTCCTTTTTAAAATTACATTGCGGCTTTTTTTTTTTCAAAGAGAATAATTATCATATACATGTATAAATTATATATTTTCTTTTTTACAATTAAGCCCCAGCATACGAAAAATATACGCGTGCAGAAATTTTTATGATGCTAAAAGGATTAATGGGACAATGTTTTCAGCCATTTATCCTCCAACTCTACTGCAGCGTAAATTAATTTTTCAATTGAAACCGAGACATAGCATACATGACTAAGTAAACATATTTACATACATGTACACGTAAAACAATATTTGAACTGCCGTAATAAATAGAATTTAACTCATTGATACTTAAATTTATTTAAACAATAACTAAATTCCATTCTTTAATAACGGAAAAAATATTATAAACGTGCATTAAGTACTCCAAAAGTCATTTAAAATGAACTAATGTATACCAGCCAATCAGATACCAAAGCTAACAGGCTCCGCCCACTTCATTTGCATACCGTTTCCCAAAGCGTACCGTCCACAAAACGAACCGTTCCGTGCAAGAAACGAAACGTACCGTCCACAAAGCGTACCGTTCCGTGCACAAAGCGAACCGTTCCGTTCTCAAAGCGTACCGTACCGTCCGCAAAGCGAACCGTTCCGTGCAAGAAACGAAACGTACCGTCCTCAAAACGAACCGTACCGTGCACAAAGCGTACCGTTCCGTGCTCAAAGCGTACCGAACCGTACCGTTCCAGTGGTGTAGTAGCACGTTTTAGGGTCTGTACAATTCAAGGATGACCAGTCTTTATGTACAGGATATGTTTTTTTTGTGACTCCAGCATGTAAGCACTGTAAACAGTAGGTCAGGGGCCACTTTTCCCACAAGAAATGATCATAATCTATAGTGCTGGGTTTCTTTCAAAATTTGACACAAACTTAAAATAAATACAGGGCGATGGAGAAAATGTGTTTGACACTGTTCTACTACATGTCCTTGTCTAAATGATTGTACAAAGCAAGAAACATGAGTCTTCCAGAGGAGCTTATAGATTGAAGTTCCTGTGTACGACAAATGGTGCAAATCTCAAGCATGCATGGATTCAAGGAGATTTCACACTTTAGGAACAATTTTTAAATCATTTTTCTTTACATAGAATCATTAATCAATGAATCATTAAAAACTCATTAAATATATTGCACCAACTTTTCACCCTCAAAATAACACATTTCATATCAAAATCATGAATGCACAAATTCTGAAAGAAAAATCTGTAGTTGTTTTGACATCTGACCATGCTGGCATACAACATATTATGAGTATTTGAAGTAACAATGAATTAAACCTATATTTTAACAGGATTTCACCATGTTCTGCTGTTTGTCTGAATGTTTCCTAGCATGTCAAAAATCAACATTATTGTAATTTTAATCTCTTCTTTTGATATGTTTTACTTATACCTAATACAGTGTATCTTATCGTATATGTATTTTCACTCATTGATGGCACTAATGAATACCTTTACTCTAGTTTACATCAATTGTGACATCTTTTCTCCTTTTCATAATCATAGGATGAAAAACAACAACTACTATCTAATTTTTTTACATCTACCTTCACATAAAAAACTGTACTGTTTCAGCCCTTTTTTTATTCATACTCAATTATAAGAACTACCATGTGCTTTAAGCTACTTGAATATCAAAAGTACCTAAATCACAGTGATAAAAGTATGAAAAAACAGAACATCTTACTAGTGAGAATTGAAACATGTAGTTTTGTAGAAAATTTATGACTTTGTACAGTACACAGACATCTTTGCCACCTGCCATCATAGAAAGTATGTCAACGTTTGTCATCTTTTGTGAGATCATTTCTTTGCACAAAAAATTACAAATAACAAATTCTATTCAACTATTAAGGCTTAATATTTGGAGGTAAAATTTAGAGAAAATGTAAAACTCATTAGATCTTGAAACAAGTTTATACATTTAAAACATGCTTTAAAATGTGGTAAAATAATTATTATTTCCCTAAAACCTGATATCTTTACAGGTGTTTTTATGTTTCAAATTAAAAATCTTAAGAATTCAACAAAGGTCCCAGCATCATTTTGCGAAAACATGAAATACAATGAAAACATTTCGAATTGCAAGTCTGACATAAAATTAACATGTTCATGGCCTATGTTACAATAATCCTAATATCAGGGTCTACAGTTGACTAGTTTTGAGTTGAATCTGATGCTTACTAACTAACCGCTGGTTGAAGTTGGTACTGGATACCTTGACCTTAGACGAGTTGTGCATATTGTGTGGAGACGTATGTTCCTCGGGGAAGCCGTTGGGATGCCCGTTATAATCCGTGTGTACACTCACTTTAGATACATACCTAGAGGGACTGCTGCTAATGTCATTGGCACTCTTGGCTCCCTGTCTGTAGGAGCCATTCTCCTGCAGCGTCACGTCATGGCTGGCATTAGATGAGTTGTGGTTTTCGCCATTTTCCATACGACTTCTTGACTTGATGTACCCATCAGACTTACTTGATGGTATGTGGATGGAGACTTCATGATGAACAGGTACCTCTGTTATTGTGGTCTCCATGGCATCGTGAAAGCTGGCTTTGGATGACGCATTGGGACTTGCACTGTTTTCTATGTTATCATAGTCTGAATGAACAGATGGAGTTTTCAGCTCCTCTGCAATATTCTCAATGGTTGTGTCACGGGACGGATGCCCATTTTCCATCCCCACTAAATGTTCATCTAAGTCATCCATCATAGGCGTCTGCCGAAAACCCTCCACATCAGAATCATCAGCGTAGGACGTCCGCGAACTCTGCATCGAAGTTTTCGAAAAAGAAATTCTAGAATTAGCAGCAGTATCATAGTAGGTAGAAGTGTCATCCATGGAGTATTCCGACAATCGACTAGAGTCCGTGCGACTACGAGGCATGTCAGGGGTAGCGACAGAGTTCAGTCCCCTTTTCTTTAAATAACCCGCCTTGCCTTTGTGGGGATTTCTCTTAAAGTGTTCGTCAATTGTTTCAGGGTGACGTCCCTTTATAATTTGTTCTATGCTGGGTTCTATCTCCAGTCCGAATGGTAACGTTGGCTCTTCGTTCACCTTGGGACGGGGAGGGAGGTCCATTTTAGCTTTGCGTAGTTCCTCCATACAAATCTGTAGCTGATCTATCACAGTGTCATCATCATAACCAAAGTTCTTCTCCAGCTCCGTCTGAAAGAACTGCAGGATTTCATCAGGACCCATCCTCATCATCTTTCCTACAAATACAGGGTAAACCTTACAGAACAACATTCTTCTTGCCATAGTCCTGATCACCCAACAACTCTTCTAAAGCCATTAATGCAATAATATCTTTGAGCCTATTTCATGGCATGTTCAATTCTCCATGAGATATTGTAAAGTATACAAATATAAATATTGACATGAAAGATTTTTAACTGGATTGTATAACAGAAAATAGTGTCGGTGTATTGTGTTAATGTTTGGTGTGACAGAATACGAGACTCACTCCTGTGTAGTTTGATGATATTGTAGGCCATAGCTGACAGGACCTTCTCCCCCTCCAGTATATAGATATCCCACAGCCTCAGGGTCAGGGTAAAGGGGATCTACATCACAAACAGTCAGACTTATATACATCACATAGAAATTATATATGAATAATTAATATAACCTTTGTTGTACAATTCATATCCTTTTAACACCTACTTTCCTAGTGTATAGTACACTGTAATAAAAAAGATCTGAGTTAAGATCTATGTAGCACAGTGTGTAACAATATAGGAACCAGCTTCTTACCCTTCCCAGAAAACACTGCAAAAACCATTTTATGGAATATAATGACGGGTAAATGTCATTTCTTTCCTGTTAAGAATAAGAAAGATCATTTTACATAACAATTACATTTCTCATGGTTCAAAGTTCAGTGTTAGAAAACAATCTGTTTAAGTGTTTGAAAAAAAATCTATCGAAGCACTTAATTGTCATATACATGTATAAGAGCCTTTTTTCTTGAAAACTTACAAAATACTTCCTGACTTTGGGTAAGAATTTCTTCAGGATTACATCATGGTGTTCCTGATATCGAAAAAGTTTGGGGAACCCTGGTATAAAGAAACCTGAAATAATAGAAAACAATGTGTAATCATAATATGATAATAATGTGTCAGAATCTGAGATTCTTAAACAGGAACATATAGCCTACTTTATTTCTATTAACACTTGAACACCACCACTAGTTTATTTTTTTTGTTTATGACTATTAAATGTTTAGGTGATGAATTCTATTATTTAAAACAGCAAAAAAAAATTACTCTAAATTGCCAAACTAAGTACTCTCTAACAACAGAAATTCACACTAGTAAAGTGTTACTACCAGAAATTGTCAGTGCATGCAGTTTTCCATCACAGAAAATGTTAAATAAACACTACAAAGTCTTTCTACACTAAAAAATCCATTAGTGTTAAAATAAATATCTGGCCTAGAGAAACAATAAATTAATTGTAAGTTTTGGCAATTCTTTAAAAGCATATTAAAAACATAAAATATAGTCTTAATTCATTGCTATAAAAATCGGACACAATCTTGAAATGCAGTGAAAGTATCAGTTTTAACCACTCTGAATTATTTTTTTTAAACTTAATTTGTGTGCATGAGTGAGGATGTCTTCTATTGATAAAAATAAAATTAAACTAATACCGTAACTAAACAAAACTTAAGTGCAAGTGAGTTGAAAATAAAAAGCTATTGGTTGGAATAATAATATGTAAGAGTCATTATTCACCAAAGTTAGAGGTAATGACAACATTCCTGATTATGTCTTGTTTACATATTAAGTAACATGTATATAGCGTACAAAGAACAAAGTACAAAGCTTCATGACACAGCTCGTATTTCTCAGAGGCCTGATGGATGTTAATAATGGCATACAAAGATTGCAAACTTTAAAGTTTTATATTTCACAGAATATACAACATTCTAACATTTCTGTTAATTTCTATGGAATGTATAAACAAACAAACTAAATCTCGCAAAAAATTTGTCACAAAAATTTGACAATTTATAGTCTAGTGTTGATTCATATAAATATATCAAATATAGTACTAACAGAAGTATCTTAGCGTGTTTACTATTGAAATTTATAGCCATTTACTTTTCAGTTATATTTGAAAGCTTGTCAAGGATTTAAATTTGGGGAAACTATTGTACTTATATTTTGTTCTTTGTCTTACATACATCCATAAATATTTTGATTACAATCATATATCGAAAGTTGAATAAGAAATTAATGTAATTATATTACACTCTTCACCATATTCTGTATAATATTTCTTTTTAATTAAATCCAAATTGGTAAGGAAACTATAGCTATTTATAATTTTGAAGATTTCAGTATCTAAATATATGAATAATGGGTTAAAGCAAACAAATTTTTGTAGCTGCTCTAGACATTAATTTTCTCACCAAGGTAGTGCAATAAGAAAGTAAATAATTACATTACATTGACAGCTAGTGAATTTCAACTATATTTTATTTTCAAAAACAATTAAGAAAAATTTTCTTCATTTTATATTATCAATTAACTATCTTTTCTTTCAAAAACTTTCTAAAGTTTAATTTTTTTTTTTAACAAAATACACTATTAAAAGCATTCTTTTTTTTTCTTTTCCTTTACTTTCCAAATCATTTCATCTTTATCGAATTCATACATGTACTTAGAAATGCAAATAAAAGTATTAAGTAAATAAGAGAGGGTAACTGTAGCCCCAGGGCTTACCATGCATCAGACGGCTGGGGTTCTTACCATGCATGCCGTGTTGTTTACTACAGAACAGCTGAGATAGGCCCCAGAAAGCATCCTAAAATAGTCAGCATGGAAAACACAGGATGCTTATTAACTCAAATGTCTTATTTCACTTTATCTTTTCAAATCCTAAATTCTAAATTCCTTGAATACAACTGATTTTATATGTGTGTTATAATTACAATCCATGTTGATTTACTTAAACTTCAGTCTTCATAAAGTGGATAAATGACAAATAAAGAGTAAACATATTATCCATTAAGACACTTCTGACAAATTGTTGTGTTAATACTGACCTCTTCATTAAGGTACATCAGTAAGAGAGCGGCTATCTCACTCATCCCCTGACAGTAGCCCACCTCTGTATTGTATGTAGAGTAGGCCGCCAGCACATGGAATAAGGCCTGTTGTCTGGAAAATACCAAAGGCATCATATTTATCTCCCTTTAACATTACAGATTAACTGTGATAAGATTGTTCTCCCCTTTGCTTTCCATGTGTTGTCCAAGCAAGATGATTCATTTCAATTTTGTGGACATGTATGAATATCCCCCCCCCACCCGTTCTTGTTTCTGTACAATAGAACCAGCACTCACTTGACACCATATCTTTCCCTGAACATGATGTGGTTTCTGTAGGTTCTGTTGACATCTATATCAATTTGTCTTATGTGGGGTGACTTCTTCCTAGCCCTGTCTCTCATTGCCTGAATAAAATACAGTTTATATATTACTTTTTAAATACCTCAAAATTTACTTCATAGCTAATTCAAGATCTTTTTTATTAATTTACACTATTTTACTAACTTGAAAATTTTGATGTTTAAACTACGAATTTCAGTCCAGGAAAAATCAAATTAAGCAACACGGGGGATATTGGGCTAATTAAGATAATTTAAAAGTTTTCTGGTAATTCTATTTTGGCAAACACTGCTGAATCACAACTGCCAGTAACAGGTTAGTGATTCACTCTATTTACAGATGCTAATGTTTACCCTGTAGACTCCATTCTGCTCCTCTCTGGTTTTATTGATATTGAGAATCCGGGCCCATACAAGTCCCCTCAGACCTGCTGGAATCCCCTTGTAAATCCTCCTGACAATCTGTAAACAAAGGTTACATCAATAGGTACAATTATCCTTCAATTACTGTAATCATAAGGATAATATTTTTAAAGAGCTGCACAAATAAAAACTTTACAATTTTTAATTTTCTTTTTTATCTTCCAATACAGATAATCAATTGAGCCTGTATGGCATTTACTATATAGTAAGAGATGACTGTGTTTACATTGTATTGTAATACAATGTACCCACTACCCCATACACTCCTAGGCCCCACTTGTCCCCCTTACCTTCTCCCCCGGGTAGTACTGCTCCCACTTGTTGATCATTTTCAGCCATTTCTTGGATCTTTCTCTTTCTATCTCTATTGCCTGGTTTAACAAAATATAGTTATTTAAGTTTTCTTTGTATTTACTATCTTTCTTTTAGAGACTAAATATTTATATTGTTTACTAATGTATACAGGGTTTCTTTCACCTCATGTTATTTTCGCCTTCACTTTTAAATATCCTTGTGCAAAAGAGATAGTGGAGTCTTCTATCTGAGAAATTTTCAATCAGCATATTAAACAGTAATATTGAATCTTCAAAATTAAGACCTCTGGAGAAAAGTACTTTTACATTTATATACTGTATGAAAATTATAACCTGAAACAAGCTTTCTTCTCTATCAGTAATTAATATCATTATAAGACTGGCTGTCAATCATACAATACCCCTGCTGTATGGGACTTTAGTTTACCTTGCTTTCTGCTGCATCCCTCCCCTCAGGAAGTCGATGGTCACTGAAATACACATCATAGAATTAGTGTACTCACTACAATAAGTCAGTTTGTTTTATGTTAGTCTATTCAATGTAAACAATGGCACAGAAAAGGAAGTCACCTCTGACATTTCTTTCAAGATATAAATTTATATTACAGCATTATAATCTAAATAAATGAGGCATGCTTGCATGTGAGTGTGTATTTATCTTTACAACAAGTTTACAACCCAAACAATGATTTCTCTCATTTATTCTTTTTTAAGGATTGTTTAGATAAAGATTGTATAGTTTATAGTGTACATGTGTATATCATTCATAATGATTGTTTTGTTTTTATATAGCGTTTTTCTAGCATAAATGCTACTCAAAGCCCTTTACAATGCATTATTACCCCAACAGACCATAACAATCCAGAATCTTTCTCCATGCAAGCTGCCATTAAGGCGCTAGAACACTAACATTCTGACAATATCTTTCACTGTCTATAGCCAGGTACCCCTTTGACACTTGGGTGGAGTGAGGAAATTTGTGTAAAGTGCCTTTCCCACAGACACAACGTCGACTTGCCACAGCCAGGATTCAAACTCACAACCTTTCGGTTTGGAGTCTGGCACCTTAACCACTAGACTACCGACGCCACGTCATTCATAACAGTCTTTTTTGTCATTTAGAACAATACCAGAAGGATTTAGACTATATATGTATTATTACTGATTAATAAATCTAATTACCATAAAAAAATTCAGTGATGTCTGTACTTCATTTTTTATTTCAAATCATTAAATTCATTAAGCTAGTGTCAGACACAGTTCTATTTTTTCTCGTAATAACCCCCCCCTATATTAGACTCTGTACTCACTGTATGAAGCCCCACCGGTCAAGGACATGGTACACCTCAAACGCTGGATCCTCCCAGGGGTCAATCTGTGCCCCCTCCTCTCTTCCCTAAACAAGTAAGCAACAAAACAATAATTATTAACAAGAGATGTTTGTAAAACACTTATGCCCCCCTCCCCCCAAATTGGATTTTTCCTAAGTCCAAAAGTGCATAACTCTGTCTAAAATGGTGCAATCGTACCCAAAACAAAACTTGACTTAGATATTCAGCTGAAAAATCTGTATACTAAATTTTATTTCATTATGTGCAACCTCTGCAAAGAAAATGAACGGAAACTGCAAATAATTGGAATTTTTCTAAGTCAAAGGGGCATAACTCTGACAAAAAGGTTGTGATCGAACCCAAAACAGAACTTGTCCTAGATATTCAGCTGAAACATCCGTATACTAAATTTCATTTGAATATGTGCAACCTCTGCAAAGAAAATGAATGGAAACGGCAAATAAGTGGAATTTTTGTAAGTCCAAGGGGCATAACTCTATCAAAAAAGGTGCGATCAAACCCAAAACAGAACTCGACCTAGATATTCAGCTGAAACATCTGTATACTAAATTTCATTTGAATATGTGCAACCTCTGCAAAGAAAATGAACGGAAACTGCAAATAAATGGAATTTTTCTAAGTCCAAGGGGCATAACTCTGTCAAAAATGGTGTGATCGTACCCAAAACAGAACTTGACCGAGATATTTACCTGATAAACCTGTATACCAAATTTCATTTCAGTATATGCAGCAGTTGTAAAGAAAATGAACGGAAACTAAATGGACCGACAGACCGACCGACCGACAGACCGATGGACAGCAGCAAAGCAATATGCCCTCCCTTCTTCGAAGGGGGGCATAATTATTATAATCAATCTGGCCCCCCTCCCTAAACAAGTCAGCAATAAAACAAGATTACATTCATCAGAATATCACACAATGACATGATCATTCATGGGAAAACAATGTTGTTATTAAACCAAAATCACAAAGTTAAATTATCTTTAAGGAACAGCAAAATCTTTCATCACACGACAACTCAATAAAATACTCTCTACTTTAGTACTTTTTGTTATGATCAGATTATCGTTATTTAAGCCACCTGTAAGTTCTTTTTGAAGTTTAGTAAAATGATCATATAAATGATCTGTAACTGACCGTCACAGTTTGGATGATTGTGTGTATATACCAAATAGTGTTCATTAAATAAATGAGTCAAAACATGTGTGGTGTTCCTTAGACACTTCATTTCATTTTTCATCATTGATATCAAAGCCAAGAGCCAAAGCTAAAAATATCTTTTTTTTAAGCATATATAATCAAATACAACAGTTTGTTGTTATTCCAGAATGCACTCTTTCAGTGTGTATCAAGAAACAAAGCATTGAATGTAAGAGAAAATCTATAATAAAGCTCAGAAAAAGAAGAATTTTGGAGCTGACTTAATTCTCTGAGGGATTCAGTGTAATATGACATGAATTGATGCATTGCTTCCCATTCATTCAAAGCCAGACCCATCTGACTTACATGTAACTATAAACCAGAGATTCAGGCTTGCTGTGAAGCACCAGTACACTCCTCAAAAGTTAGACACTCACTTTCTTTTTCTCAAAAAATTGTCTTGAGTAATCAACAACTATTTCAACTGCATTTGCATTTGGACAATGTGTGGGGGACATGTTTTCATGTAAAATTTCAAACCCAATTTTAAGACATGGAAAAACAAATTTCCTCCCTTTAAAACATGTAACATGATAATGTACATTGTGGAATACCACCAAGTCAGGGTTAATCAAAATCACAGATTTCTTATTTGTACAGTTTTATCCCTGTCCCCATCCCCATTACATGCATCACTATAACCATAAAATGGTGTCTATTCACTTATTTACAGTTGAGCCTCATTTATCCGGACGCTTTGGTTCCCAGTCAATATGTCCGGATATGTGAAGCGTCCGGATATCCGAATTGCCAGTTAAATGAGACAAAATAACATTTAAAAATTCTGTTTCCATGAATAATCGTCCGCAAACTGAAGCATCCAGATATCTGGCGTCCAGATATCTGAAGGTCCATTGTACATGTATATATATAAACCCCCTTCTCCTGCCACTTGAGTACTCTCTTTGTCATGTACATCAACCCACATACCAATGCTATAATCACCCATCAGAGTTCTAATCCCCACCATTGATGTATCCTTTTCGTGTATCACCCCCCCCCCCCACAAAAATTGGCTAAAAAAGCACATACTGTATAGGTCTCGCGGTGTTAGCTATATTCACGGTGTTAATAAATCCGTGAATTCAGTGAATAAATTTTCATCCCTACACCACTACGACATGTTGATATACATGTACATGCAGTACATGGTCGTTTCAGTAATTACGAGTAGTACTCGTCACAATTATTTTAATTATCACGCTTTACTTTAATTCTAATCGGCAGATAATATCTCGTGTTTGTTCAAAAGCTGTTTTAATAGCCCCGTGCGTAACTAATATTACCACGTGTATTTGTTGCCTGCATTATCATGCATATTAGTTTTTATCAACATTCAAATAAATAAACTTAAAGATGGTATTATTTCGGCAGGGGCCATTGAAGATCACATGCACTCATCGTAATAGCCTATAGGAAAGTCATTTGACGTTTAAAGATTAGGACTTTTAATAACTGCACTTGTTTTAATTAATTATTAATTAAATCTATCAATTTTATATAAACCTACCCTGGCTAAATAAAAACAACGCTGAAGAATGTCGTTTACATGTAAAGCACAGAAAAACGTGAAAATTACAACCCGTGAAATTAATCCACTATACAGTATCAGAACTGAAAGTGTACTGGGGGAGGGGGGGGGAAGGGGCTTGAATTTTAACCCCCCAGGAGGTCATGATTTGAACAAAATAGAATCTACACTACCTGAGGATGATTTCCTATAAATATCACTAAGCATGGCTGTGAAGTACTTGAAAAGAAGATTCTAAAAGGTTTCCCCATATATTCCTATATAAAACTTTTATTGGCCATTTGGCCCCACCCTACCCCCAGGGGTCATGATTTGAACAAACTTAAATCTACACTACCTGGGGATAATTCCACAGAAGTTTCATCTTTCCTGGCCCAGTAGTTCTTGAGAAGAAGATTTTTAAAGATTTCTCCTATATATCCCTTTGTAAAACTTTGATCGGTCATTTTGGCCCCATCCTACCCCCGGGGGTCATGATTTGAACAAACTTGAATCTACACTACCTGAGGATGATTCCACATGAGTTTCATCTTTCCTGGCCCAGTGGTTCTTGAGAAGAAGATTTTTAAAGATTTTTCCTATATATTCCTATGTAAAACTTTGATCGGCCATTTTGGCCCCACCCTACCCCCGGGGGTCATGATTTGAACAAACTTGAATCTACACTACCTGAGGATGATTCCACCTGAGTTTCAACTTTCCTGGCCCAGTGGTTCTTGCGAAGAAGATTTTTAAAATTTTTTCCTATATATTCCTATGTTAAAATTTGATCGGCCATTTTGGCCCCACCCTACCCCCGGGGTCATGATTTGAACAAACTTGAATCTACACTACCTGAGGATGATTCCACAAGAGTTTCATCTTTCCTGGCCCAGTGGTTCCTGAGAAGATTTTTTAAAAATGCCATTAATTTTTCTCTAATTCATAATTATCTCCCCTTGGAAAAGGGCGTGGCCCTTCATTTGAACAAACTTGAATCCCCTTTACCCAAGGATACTTTGTAGCAAGTTTGGTTGAAATTGGCCCAGTGGTTCTTGAGAAGAAGATGAAAATGTGAAAAGTCTACAACAACAACGACGACAACGACAACGACGACAGACAACGAATAAATTTTGATCAGAAAAGCTCACTTGAGCCTTTGGCTCAGGTGAGCTAAAAAAACACACAAACACATTGAGTATTTGTCTCAATTTGTCATGTACCTCCCCCCATGCATAGCAGGTGTCCCTTTTTTGCCTTTTCATTTATAACCCAACCTATATACATACACTACAGTACTGGTGTCTTCAATCACTTTGTCGTGTAATACCACATCCCAAACTCCTCCCTCAAAAACACACATACCTGGTGATTTCTCTAAACTTTTCATTTGCTACCCCACTTCAAATCAACATCTCAACATACCAACCTCACCCCTATTCAACCACCCCCACAAATCAACCTCTACTACCCTCGAAACAAACAGATACTCGTATCTCTTCTCACATACTTGGCGACGATTTCCCTCCTTTCCTCTGCGGCTCTAAACCACCCCCTAAAATCAACCTCACCTCCCTATAAACTCATATCTCCCCTCACCTTGTCATACTTGGCGACGATTTCCCTCCTTTCCTCCGCGGCTCTCAGAACCTCATCATACTCGTCTATGGTTGGTGAGGCTGAAAGAAGGACAATCATTAATGATTAATTAAGCTATATAGGTAGACTTAATTGTTTAATCAGTACTTGTCTATTATCAGAATAAAACTTGATCACTCCTCAACTTCATATTATGGTGAAATTTTTGACAACTCGGGCATTAGGGATGTGCGATTTTATCGGTATACCGGTATATCGCGATTTTATGTTGCGTGATACATATCGTGATACGGAGACCTAAATACCGGTCTTTTAGGTTCATAGTATAAAGTCCAGAAATTATTCATTTATTGGTTCAATCTTTCAAATTACAATTACAGAAAGTATAAAAAATGTTGTAAGAAGCGAAAAGACCGGCATCTTACCGTCCAAACATCATTTATTTTATATACATAAACATTTATAGAAGGTAAAATTTTGTTTTTCTAGCATATTTTTTAGAAAAATAATGACTTTTTATATAAAATCATTGTAAAAACTGCTTTTAAAAATATCGTGATATTATCATGATATTGTGGGGAAAAAATCGTGATATATCGCGATACGAAATGTTTAGCGATACCCATCCCTATCGGGCATATAATTCAAGGAATACCAAGCATACATGCAATTTGTATTTTAATCCCGTTCTCTCTTCCTTGAAGGTAAAATATAACCGGAAAAAAGTGTAGTTCTAAGATTATAGCTTATCTCTATTACCTATATATAACTGCAAGTAAACCATATATCATACTATGAACATTGATTTACACATAAAAATTATATCACTGACAGAAGATTATTCATAACTTCAAAATCATGACTCAATGCTATAAATATTTCTCTGTAAACTATTTCTACAGCTCAGTAGCACACATTTCCTTCTTCTTTACGACTCTGCATCAAATTATGATCTACTTTAAAATTCAAAAGTACAAAGAAACCAACAATGAGTAAGATCTACTCAACCCTTTCCTGCACTTAAAAACAAATTGTAGCTCCACCCTCACTTAATTAGGTCAAGGTAACATAACAAGCCAGCTGATGAGTTAAGTTACATGGATGTTTAATTAAATATACATGCTTTTTTAAAATTAGCATGGTATTTATCAAGATACTTATATAATACAGAGTTGTGATAACTCTGACATAAGTTTAGTATCATGTACCTCAAACACACCATTAAACAGGATCTATACTGGGTCATAATCTAACAGTCCTCTGACTAATGTCTTGTTTTGCACTAAATACATGTCAAGTTATCACCATGTCTTTAAATTTGTATTGCATGTTGGGTGAATATCATAATGAATTTGACATCTGAACACATATATCTAACATAGTTCTGCCATACCATAATATACATGAATTGATATAGGAAGTGTGATTTATTTTTAGAACAAAATTGGATGAACTTAGAATTACTTCCTTAATTAACGCTGTGTACATCATGGTACGATCTCACAGTGTCTAATTCTGAATGTGTACAGCTGAGAAAGTTTGACAGAACCTTTCTTTTTCTCATCACTCTAAAAGTTCATTGGACCATGCTAATATACCTAGAATACTGTTTTTTTTTTTTAATGAGATACAAAGTTGCCATATATGCATAAAGGCAAATCAAAAATTTTCAGTTGAAAATTCTAAAGCATACTTTAACTGTATTTAAGATCGACGGGCTCCGCATAATTTTCTGCCCCATAACATTTAAAAGAGAAGTTGTGTTCCCTTGGAATTGTATGACCCCATGGAAAAAGAATTTTAGCTGTTCGTTTTCTGATTTCAAAACTTAAAATCTTATTAGACTATAAATTTAACAGATTTACTCGACAGTAAATGTTTGTCATTCGATCTCTGTCTATATGACATAGAACTTTTTGTACATGTCGTATAATTCAGATAATTGTATATTGCCTGCATATATTTACATGCAAGACTGAATGTTTGAAGTAGCAATTCAAGTCAAAATTATTCTGAATTTTCTTCAGAGCCATAAAACAAGAACACCAATCCATGTCCCGAGCTTATATTTCTGATTACACTCCAAAACTTCTAGGAATGACCAAATTTACAACAAAATTACCTTTTGACAATCTGCACATGGTCCTTTTTACCCATTTATTCATCTTATGACAAAGTTCAGCATCTTAAATCCAAACAGACTATAGTAGCTATTACTGTATCACATAACTCGTTCCAGAATGTAAACTTTCAGGGAAAATAAGAAAGATCAGAAATTCCTCTTTGACAGCCTTATTGAGAATTTTACATCTGAAACGATGCTTGAACGGAAAAAGGAAATTCTCGCAACCCATTCACATGGCGTTGAGGAAGAAATCCTAGAGTACAATTCAATGTATATGTACTAAATATACACATTTCTGTCACACATTGGCCCACTTAATTCCTTAATAGTAAACATAATCAGCTGATTAGAAAATTCACCCCCTCCAAGTTGAGACCATCAGTTTACTATATCTCCTTGACATTCTATCATCAAACAGTACGTACTCATTTCCTCTAACCAGTACATAGAATACTGTATATAATGTTTATCGTTACGTACACCTCTACGTATCTACATGGTGTTGTCACTTCGTTTCTTGACCTCCACGCTATACTGTACTGATCAGGAAGTCATTTCAACTGACCACTCAGTAACATTGCATACCTACTGTACAGCAATTCACATGTAACAAGATTGAATTGTGTGTGAATTCACTTATCCTGAGATCACCAACTCCTAACTTCATGTCACAACCTTAACCTCCTTAAACTCCATCCAAAAATGTACGGTAGAATGTCGATCAAAAAGGTCCCCATTACATGGTTTTGTGTTGTTAACAAAGGTCTAACATGCACAGGGAGCAGGCATAAATTTATAAATTTTTATTTATTGAGCATTTGTTACATAATGTACTTTCAATAATCTTCCGCGTTTCATAAAACCATATTCAATTTGACTTAATTTGAGCTACTTCTTTTTCCTATACTAATCATTAAAACAGTAATTAATAAAGGTTCTATTTTGTGACTGGATGACTTTGCTTTTATTTTGAAAGTTGAAACTGAGGCCATCTTTTAAAATCTCATTTGCCTGCCCTCTCCTGCTGGCTAAAATGGCTCTACTCCTTTGCAACAAGTGCCACCTTTTGGAAAACATTCGATTAGCAAGGTTGGCATGAAACTGTGATTTTTTTTTTTTTACCTCATCAAACCATAAAATCATTTCATCCTATATTTTCATTTCTTGGTTTTTAAAGTCTTCAAAATGTCAATAAAAAGGATAGGCAAGAAGTGTCAGAAATAATGCTTCTTTTTTTATAGAAAAAATTATGTAAAACTCAGCATTATATATCACCATGATAGAGTGATTCAACAGGATATTAACATATATAGAGCAAATAAAACAGGAATACACCTGCACATATTCCTTATGCCCTATAAGGTGGACCATTTACCTTGAGCTATCAAACAGGTTGGATGACTCCTTAATCAGTCTAGTAGGTGTAGGACTTTATGTCAACACCCATAACAAGGTCCAATAAAGTCATTTATCTCTCACCAACAAGGATTTCCTTGCTACTTAGAATACACCCAAGATAAAATAACCATTATGTCAAAATTTCTACTGTTCTTTCAGAAGTGAAAATAAATATTAAGTGATTTCATAATTTTTCAAATGAGTGAGCAATAAAAAAATATTGATGGACATTTATCATTTAGAACTAGAATTTTCCCATCCAATAATTTTTTTAAATACTTTAATTCCCTTTTTTTTAATTATTGTTCGTTAGTTTTTGGGTCACCTGCAGAGCACAGCAGCAGTCAGGGAGCACTAAACCTGGCATCTGTCTGTCTGTCTGTCTAGCTCTTTAGCTGTCTGTCACACCCTATATCTCATGAGCTGTAAGAGGTATGGAAGGGAAAGGTGAACATTTGGTCATCTTCGCTAGCCAAAGGTTTTTGGTCCGCAATGCTCCCCATAAACCCTTGGCCGATATGCACTGTAAAACGCCGGTCACACATAGCGCCATCTGTAAATTCTTCAGAAAGAACGATAATTCTGGTTGAAGCAAACAGCCAATGAAATGATAGTTTTTATGTATGTTTCGGTAGAAAATTATACACAATATGGCAACTTCCATTAAAACAACATTTGGAATACAAAAATTTAAATTCTTTCCAACAAAAAGCGATATATGCTTTAATGCACAGATGTGGTGTGTTCATAGGAACGAAAACGGGTTTACACATGCGCTCGAATTTTCTAGAAAACTTCTCAAAAGTTCTAGGCCGTAAATTGAAAACAGTTTTTTCCATTGGTCCACGGTCTGCTACAACTCTCCAATGAAAATTGACTGGCGTTTTCCAAAGCATATCGGCCAAGGGTTTAATATGCGGACCGAAAATCCTTGGCTAGCGAAGATGACATTTGGTGTGATTTACTTTTTCTTTTATTGCACAAATTGAAATAAATTTATGTGCCTCCATCTAAAAAGCTTGAAAATATACTGTAAACGTATATAAAATAGCACATGATAAATGCTAAAATAAGCATGTTTACATTAGATGGCACAATGTGACCAATTGTCCAACAGGTTTGGAGGGGATTTTTTTTGGGGGGGGGGCTAAAAAAAATGGAGAGGGCATTCAACATGATGATTATTATGTGTTAGTTATCAATTTATTCTTTCTAACTTTAAATCCTGAACATATTGAATACCACAAGATCCTAGTATTTATATACTCCTAAGAATTTAGCTATCAAATTAGATTTGCAGTTTTTACTAAAATAGTTTTAGAAAGAAATAGCACAAGATACTACTGGTATATCAGGGAAATATCAACTCCATATAATTTTTAGCTGATCTTGCTATTGAATGCAATCTGCAAGGATTGAAATTAAAAGGAAATACTAGCTAAATGCAAATAAAAATAGAAAACTACAACTTGAGAGAGAAGATGATGTTTTTTTATGATTTGCTGATCCCTAATTTTGGTTATAAACTTAACAAAAACTTTGTCTTCTTACATAATGAAACTCTGCTTAGTTGACTGTAAATAAAATTTGATAAAATAAGGTTAACCATGTAGCATGTCTGAGAGGCACATACTGCTTTTAATAAAAGATTTAATGCTTGTATTTATGCGTCAGGTCGTACTAATTTCACACTAAAAAAATAAAATGTAGACAATAAGGCTATGTCTCCTGTATTTCTGGCTTCAGTACAAAGTATAACTTTTAAAGTGCTTCCTATCTTTCAAATTTGTATAGAAATATAAGGATGCTAAAGCCTTTTCTTTTCTCAAAATCTGGCAAAAAACAAAGTTAACAGACTGTCTATTATACAGTGTTATACATAAAATGACTGTATTATATAAAATGTAAAACAGGTTTGATTTCTTACTCTTCTACATGTAATAATATATACATATTCAATCTAAATATTTTTCTATGATCAGATAGATACTGTAAAATCACATATTTTCGAGGGGTCAAATTTTCATGGTTTGAGGAAAATATATTGGTTCATGGGGATTTGATTTCATAGTTGAAGAACTGTTCAATGAAGCTACTACGAAGGCAGAAATTGGGAAATGTTGGAAAAACTTTGTTTGCTTAATAATAAGAATTTTCCTCCCAAATTTAAAATTCACTAATAGTCAAATAAGTTTATTTTGATCCAGAATCTTTTTTTTTTTCATTTTGCATATTGCATATAACCTACTGCACTCTAGTATGATGGGCTTGACAATAATTTAAGTTTGGGTTAGACTCCATTAAAACCAATGAAAACTCGTCATGCTGGCCACTGAGATCTACTAGTAAGGCTGATGTACATGGATCTGATCTAGTCTCTAGCCGATGAATGCACTGTTAACAGTCTACTTGAATGGTAGCAAGCATACTTACTCATCTTGTAAATACAATGATGAACTTGATCAAAACATCCATTAGCTGTTTCTTCTATACCATGTCTTTAAGTTTCATCAATGTCCATCCTGAAAAACATTTGTTTATCTATTACTGTCACATAATTTCTATTTTTTGATATATTTGACAACAAGCTGACATTATAATCCCCTTCTAGTTCTATTATATTCCCCATATAGAGTTCGAGGAATGGGGTGTTCGTTTGTCTGTCTGTCCATCACACTTTCAGTTTGTTTGGGGTATTCATCCCTATCTCCTATACAACTGAATAAATTTAATTAGACAATCAAAGACTTTATAACCATTGTGACCTCCTATTCCTGCTTTTGTATTTTTTTTTATCAGAAAGATAATAGGGTTTTCCCATAGCAAAACATGGACACTGCATGCAATTCTTTCTATGATATTGGAGTATCAATCTTTTTTTTTTTTCCATAACTCTTTTTATCCAATTGAATAAAATCTGATACCTTCACAAAATCTTTATTACATATTGTCATTGTGTGCTTCCTAATTAAAAATTTTGATCAAACAGATTTGGCTTATCCGAGATTCCTCTGACTCTAACCCTTGCTTTTTATACTGTCACAAATTCACAATATAAAAAGCAGGGGGTTAGAGTCCAAGGAATCTCTGATTTATATTTGGGTTTTCCAAAAGCAGGGATTCCACTCATATACTTGCATTGTAGCAAATCAGAGCAGATCCGCTCCGAAATGATTTTAAAGAATACAACTGTCAACAGAGGTTATGCTAAAAATAACTACCAAATTATCAAAACAAACCTTTTTGGAAATGTATTGGTAATTTATACACCTTTTATCCCCAAATAAACAATCCATGAAAATACTAAAATTCAACAAATTTTCTCAACGTCTTTTTTTCTTGCTTCAAATTTACATACCATGTTTACCTTCGGAACTCTCTGGATTATTAATAGAAAATGCACTGAATATGAGTTATCGCCTGAGTTTAAATTGTTTTGCTACATCGCAAATACATACATGTACATAATCAATCAATCATTTATTTGAATCTCTTCACCATTTTACAATAGCGTACAGAGACTACAAAAACATATAGGTGATTTTATATACAACAATAGGTCTAGAAAGGCATGCGTGAGTAAGAAACTAAACAAAAAATATGTAGGTTACTATAAATGTGAAGTATGGTAATTTAGGCCGGGGAGCATATCTTATTTTCTTTACAAAGGAGCACAATTTTCTTAGAAAGCAGTGTTTATTGTTATTCATAATGTTTTTAAAACTAATTATATTCTGAAATTTTATGTGTTTTTCTGTTAAGCATAGTTTTCTTTCTGTTTGTAGCGAGTTGCACTTTAAAATGTAATGAAACTCATCTCCGAGTTCTTTTAGATTACAATGTACATGGAACAACTCTATTGCTAAAACAGGTCATAGGACAATATCATTTTAACAATAGACGTTTCACGACAACTGCAGTACTGCTCTTTTGCAGGGCAAAATGATATAGTTTGGTGAAATATGAAGTAAAAGTAATTGTTTAAA